GTTTGAAGACTAGAGATGCTGCAGCCATGGCAGCAGCTGTTTCTGCAGCAACCTCAGTCCCTGGAATCTCTGTATCAATCTTGGTGAGAGTTCTCTTACTCGACATTGTTTCTGGCCTCTCCCAACATTTATGATCTGTTTCCGGATCTCCAACCTTCACACATTGTATAATCAGTACTTGTTAATTTAATAAAATAAATTTTGGGAACATAGAAATTTAATAAAAATAATAGTTTGCTCTGTTTCATTATAAGTGTCATTTTAAAATTGTGCACACAGATTAAAGAAACAATTAATTCTGTATATTTTCAATATAAAAACACAATTACCTATACACCTAAATATATTTTAACCAATAGAAAAACAAATTACATAAAGTTAATAAATTTTGCATCAAAAATCAAAAACTACACTTATTTTGTAACGAAAAAAATTCTCAACAACGACACTTAATATGAAACGGAGAAAATAATTAATAGATTCATAACTTATAAATTTATGTCTATGCATAAATTTAATAAAATAAATTGGAAACCATAACCAATGTTTCACTAGTCTATGCCTCTAGATCTGTTCCTACTTGCAGAACTTGATTTCATCTTGATCATTGTACCTGGATATAGAGCACGTTCGGAGAAGGATGAGCATGGATAAGGAAGTCAGTGATCCATTTAAGAGAGTCTTTAGCAGGATCCAACTGGTTCACAGAGTCCATGTGATCACCGTACTCAAGAATAGACCAGGAGAGAAGAGTAGCAGTGAAAGCCATAGGGAAACCGAACTTCATGTGATCTCCAGCATCGTATAAACCTTTGGAAAGGTCAAGACCCGCTTCACTTCCGTCTTCAAGACCAGAGTCACCTCTCCAAGTTACGTTGTTGTTCTCTAGCTTACCAGCTGCACCAAAAACAAAGCCAAAGAATCATTCATTCATTACCAGGAGTAAGATGTGTGAGTGGTTCGCAAGTAATGTTGACGATTTACATTTCTGGATATCGAAGAATTGCATAGCGATCTTGAGAGCATCAGAGTAGTTTTTATCAATGGGATTGGAGCCTGGAAGTGGAACTATGTCGTCTCCTCCATCATCGGAATGTTTATTTGGTTTATTATGTCTGACTGTGAAAACGATGGCGAGGATTACAGCGATCAACACGATCATCCCGATGAACCAGCTACAGCAACAACATCTCGAACTCGATTTCTCTCCCATTTTTATTTTCTCCTTCTTTAGATCGAAAATGTAACTTATCGTAATGTCAATGGACATGCATTTAGGGATCTTTAGGGGTTTTGGAAAATAGAGATATCGAAAAGTCGTGTATCATGGAAAAATATTCGAATAAGGAAATTAACAGATTTTTGCTAAAATTATGGAGAGAGAGAAACAGAGTCACCGACACTGATCAAATCTGTAACCACGCGGGAGGATGAACCGTCTTTCATTTCTGGAGCATCTCCAATTTTAGAGCATTTCCAATATATACTTTTATATTTTCTTCTAAAATATAGATCTATACTATAAAATTCAATTTGCTCCAATATATGTTTCTGTAATAGATTTTTTATAGATCTCTATTATAAAATTAGATTTGTTCTAATATATGTTTTTATAATAGAATTTTTCAATAATTGTGTTTTCCTATTTTAGAAAAAATATAGAAAAAAAAATTTTATTTTTATATTTTAAGGTAAAAATATATCCTATATTTTGCATATAAATTAAAAAAAAAAGTTATTAGATTACAGCAATTTCACTTTTATAATGATTTTTTAATCTATCTATATTATAAATCTTTATTTTAAGAGAAAATATAAAATAAAAATAAAAGTGGACTGAAGATGATTTTAGGCATGTATTCAAACTAAAACCATTTTTATTGAGAGGTTCTTAGGAATATATTCTTACTGAAATATAAGAATATATCTCTTAACATTTAATTAAAATATTTAAAAATTAATTAGTAACTTTTTTAATTAAAAATGAAAAGATGAATTTTTATATTTCACTAAAAATTTCGTCAGTAAGAATTCCATTGGAGGTGCTCTAGATTGTGATTATGGAACTACCCTTAGCTTGAAAAGAAGTTATGTGGCTGTCCCAATTGACGGTTGCGATAATGATTGATACTTTATCAATTTTTGGTGAATACTTTAATACATTTACCTGTTACATTCATTAAGAGTCAACTTCAAAGTTCAAACCACCACGTTGTCTGAGTAAGGAGTTAGTGGGAAACATAAATTTCCTAAAACTTTACTCGTTTATACAAATTAAACCATGCCATTCACTCATTAAACCATACTTGGGCCACCTCATTTTGCAAACCCTAGAGTTTTAATATCTTGTGCAGCTTAATAAAGTTCGAAACGTCCGGTTAAGAATCTTGGATATGTTTAGGCTTCTTCAGCTTGGAACGTTTCAAAATTTTGGGTTTGGGTAGTATTTGTAGTATAAATTTGGGCCCGAGGTTTTCTTTTAGTTACTACGTATTTATCAAAACAAACAGCTTTCTTCACGCGGAAACCATCACTCCGTTACTCGGCCATGCAATTACTCTTGTTTGCGTGTGTGGCCATGCATTTTCTTTAATTGGATGGAACGCGTTGAATTTTAGTTCATATAGCTAATTTAGCATATTACTTTTCCCTACCATCAAATTAATTATCTTTTTCTTTGCTACAAAACAATAGCTGGTATGTGCTAACTGAGATCAAAAACTTTCCTCAAATGAAGATGGCTTCTGTTGATAAAAGAAATAAACTACGAAATTGTATATATAATCTTTGACTGACATTCCACTCCATACATGATTCACAAATTGATGATAAGTTAATCTCAAATATAAAAAAGTAGAATCGCATGTACGTGCGTTACCTAGCTTTATATCATCCAGGTGTTCGTTGTAACGTTGATTAATTAAAACGTATCATCTATAATTCATTAAAAACCATGATCGCTTTGATATAGTTTTGGTCCCATTTCTTTTTACAATGAGTTGTTGGCATTGTAATTGTAATGTTGATGTAATATCTACTGGGACTCACCAATATAGACGTTAGTATTTCTGGGATACTTTCTTTGCTTTAATAATGGAAAACCGTGTCCCTCATCCTCTTTTTGTCGACAAACCTTTTTTCCGGTTTGGCTTTCTTCGCATATAATCTAACGTTATAAGAACGCCAATAGTGGTTAGCTTAAGATTAAATCTGATTTGTGGAAAGCGTTTGGTTAAGATATAGCTGTGTCTGCAGGAGGAGTTCGCTGTGGGCGTGAAAGCAATTTACTCCATGATTAGAAAGGACATGATAGCATAAAGCATGCTAATGTTATGTAATTAACTAGTTTTATCATCATGATGCATAATTAGATCACTTTATATAGTATATATAAGGGCAATTCTCTCGAATAAGCCTCTTTTAAGTTTTTATCACAAAAATAGACCTCAAAAATTAAAGTGATCAAAATCTCATCTTTTATTTTGAAAATATAAAGTTTTTTAAATTTTTTTAAGCTCGAAACCCTGTCTCCAAAACTCCACTTCTCAACTCTAAACAAAAAAATATGGGATTAGTTAACCCAAATGATATAAATATATATTTAATAAAATATTTAAGTGTTATTTTGATCATTTTAATTGTTAAGATCTATCTTTGTGATAAAAACTTTTTTACGTCAATTTTAGTCATTTTCTCTATATATAACCTTATTTTGAAATCGTAGTAATTGTTTAGCTTTCTGTTTGCAAAAATGTCAAGAATGATCTATCAGTGTCATGTTTATATATTTCCAGTTTCTAAATTAATTTTTCATATTTTTATGAACAAATACAGCTATAATCAGTTATCATTTTAGAAAAATCTGTAACAATCACATTCACAAAATTTACTACGAAAAGAAAAGAAATAGATGGTTTACTGGAATCCAATGACCGAAAGAAGATCAAATTAGTAAAAATGAATTGAAATACACAACCAAAGGTCAAAAGCTTATAACTCCGAACCATATTTAGCATAACCTTATGAACAAATATAGCAATCCTTATTAATTATTTTAGAAAATGAAATCACCCCTCACATTACGAAAGATCAATATATAGAATCAGATGGGAAAATGGATACTCAAATTAGTAAAAGCATTCACAACTCACAAGAACAGATTGGATAACAGTAGAGTAGATCCATTCTTTGTGTCTCTGCTCTCAGATCTCAACCGTCCGTTTTAAATCTCAAAAGAATTAACCTATAAAAGTGGTTAGTGTGTACAAGAGAGAAGTGAAAAGGACTCGTAACGAATTAACCAAAAACAGTATATAAAAGAACCGCTGGTTAAAGCCACACTTGTTATTTTTTACTTTTGATTTACTTCTTTTTTTTTTATATTATTTTTGTCTCTTTCCCCCGCTCTCTCTCTCTCCCTCTCGCCGCCGTCTGCGTAACGGTCACCACCCGCATTCCACCGATCATTCCTTTTCTTTCGCCGACGCATCAAAACCAGCTCCCTCGAACTCTCCCTGCAGTATCATTTCGGTTCCTTACCATTCTCAGGAGGTATCGTGTTCGTTCGGTTCAAAGTAGAAAATCGACTCATCTTCTCCCTCTCGTTTGAGATTGTGTTTATCAATAACGATCGGCGTTAATCTTAGCTCCTCGTTGTTAGTTTCTGTATGTTTTCTTAGTCGGTTATTCATGAATGGATTTCGAATTTGTGCGTTTTAAGTAGATTTGTAAGTTCGATTTCATATCCAAACTCGGAAGAATGATGAATGTGTATGTTAATTAATTCAGCTAATCGAAGCTAAATCTCGTTCACTTTAGTGCTTCTGATGAACCGCCACTTGTGATTCAGTATGTGTTAGTTGGTTGAGATGAATCAAAGCTTATATTTATTGATTGATTACTCTTTGTTTTTTTGCTTCTTGTTTGTTGAAATCTTTGGTTATGATTTTTGGATTAACACTTTTTGTTTCTTGTTTAGCTCTATCAGGTGTGAAAAGAAAATGATTGGATCGTTACTAACAAGAGGACTTGTGTATGACTCTTTATCTTTTCATTGAGGTTACAGAGTAGTAGTAATTGATCATAGAGTTTGTTTTAAAGTTTTTTTTGAGTTTTTTTTTATTTGTTGGTAGGATGGTATTTGGATATGCGTATCCTGCTTATGAATGCTACAAGGAGATTGAGAAGAATAAGCCTGAGGTTCAACAGCTTCGTTTCTGGTGCCAGTATTGGTTTGTGATTTCCTTTTTTTTTTTTCTCATGTAGTCTTGTCTTTGAGTTTTTCTTTTGTTTAACAAGTAAAGTCTTATCTTCCTCTTGAAAACTTGTTGCAGGATTTTGGTGGCTGCTTTGACGATTTTCGAACGAGTTGGGGATACTTTTGCTTCCTGGTTTGTGTTATTGATATACTTTGAGATGAAATGAGATATATATATGTACTTATGTTGTTTATGTCCTGTTTTCATGAAGGGTTCCGCTTTACTGCGAGGCAAAGCTTGCATTTTTTATATATCTTTGGTTCCCCAAGACTAGAGTAAGTGAAGAGAGTCTTACTTGTATATGCAATCCACTAGAGTTTCTATCTCATTGCATTTGCTTCTGTGTGTTCCACAGGGAACTACCTACGTTTATGATTCTTTCTTTAAACCATATGTTGCAAAGCACGAAAAAGATATTGACCGCAACTTGGTTGAGCTGAGGACCAAAGCTGGAGATATGGCAGTCATGTACTGTAAAGTAGCAGTTTGCTACGGACAAACAAGATTCACCGAGATCTTGCATTTTGTTGCTCTGCAATCAACACCAAAACCTCAACCTAAGGTAATATATACACCTAACAAGAAGATTTCATGAACAACTAATCATATGCATCATTTACTTTTTCATTTTCTTCCTTGTCCAATCAATGGTGATAATGTTCATGGACTTTCTCTTGATTCTAACTAGTCATTATCTAACCTTAGGAAAAGAAGCAGCCAGCACCAAAAGAGGAGGAACAGAAGCAACCAGATGTTAAGACGAGTCAAGCAGCTTCTACACCTCAAGCTAGTCTACAAGCACCAAAACCTAAGAAACCACTGCTTCTAACCAAAGAAACTATAGCGGTCAAGCCTACTTCATCTCCACGGAAACAGCTACAGCCACAGCAACAAACAGAAACCAAGGAAGCACAACCCAGCGTGTCGCAAACCAAACTCACTCCTACTCCACCACCTTCACCTGCCACTAAACCAAACGCTGATTCTGCACAGCCAGCACAATCAACAACAGAGATAGAGAAAGCGTCAGAGGTCGTTGCAGCAGCCATACCAGCAACAGAGATTCAGCGAGCGTCATCTTCGAAAGAGGCAATAACGGAGGAAGCACTAAGGGTCACTCGTGGGAGTCTGAGGAAAGCTCGTTCAGTGGGGAACACGCTAAAGGAAAAATAGAGCAGTAGTTTAAATCTCTGTCTGGTTTTCAATGGTGCCTTTCTTATGAAGTCAACGTAAACAAGAATAATTGATTTTGTTAGGGGAAAATTGGTGTCATTTGTCTTTTTAATCAGATGTAAATTGTTCAGACTTGTGACTAATCTTTAATTTGTCTTCTTTTCGGATTTAAAATTCCAAAACCAAAAATATATTCCGCTGACGGGCTTTGAACCCGGATTTCACCATTGAAATTAACCTGTGTGCTACAGCGGATCTGTTGCACATCCTTCACATTAAAATTTATATAACGCTATTTAGAAGAAGGTCAAACGTCTCAAATCTTTGCCCTTCTTCTCTTAATGGCGTTGCGTAACGATATCAACTTTAATTGAGAACAGTCGATATGATTGAAATGATAGACAGATATAAAGTCAACAGCAACTTGGTGAGATCTTGCAGAATGTGGCTCTACCAATCAACACAAGAACCCCAGCCCCAATATCTATACCAAGAACAAACAGATTACTTCTTCTCCTTGTGTAATTTTGTGTTTGACGAAAATGATATTTTCTGCCAAAAAAAAGTATACAAAGATCAAAACTCTTCCCTTGATTGGTTTCAGACTTTCAGCCTAAGCTATTTAAAATGGTATATCCTGCTGCCGCACTTGGGACCTGGATTTCATCATTTGAAATTAACATGTGTGCAGCAGAATATATTTTTTGGTCAAAATTAATTTGGTTCAAAGGTAACATTCCCAGCCATGCCTTCAATATGTGGATTGCACATCTTGATAGGATGCCTACTAGACTGAAAATTGCCTCTTGAGGCCTCAACGTTCTATCATCATGCCCAACTTGTTTGTTGGGTACTGAATCAAGAGATCACGTGCTGCTTCATTGTGGCTTTAGCTCTGAAATTTGGAGAAAAGTGCTGTTATAGATTAACCCTTCAAGACGAGCATTTGTCACTTTGGATGAACTCTTGTCATGGATGAAAATCAGTTCCACCAAGTCACCAACGCCCCCTCTACCCTTCGGTAAGTCGTTGTTCATACCACATTTGGCGCCAGCGAAACAATCTCCTTCATAACGACAGCTTCAGGACACCGGAGTCGGTTTTTAGATCAATAAATGGAGAAATTAGGAATATTATCCTTGAAAGAAGATACAAGAGGCAATTCAAAAACCTCTTGTCTTACTGGCTCTTGTAATCCCTCTGTTTGTGTTACTCATCTTCTTTAGTGCTTCCTTGTTTTTTTTTTTCTTTTTGCCTTGTTGCACTGTTTGTAGGAATTAAACTCTGTAATTTCCTCTTTTCATTTCTAATGATATTAAGGGTCTGACTGGTTATAACACAGCGATTGCGGTTGTGGTTGCGGGCGTTTGTGGAGGCGGGAGATTGTGGTTTTAAGCGTTAGTAAGAGATTTATATGACTGGTTCAACGGTTAAAAATTGTTGCGTTTGTGGGATATTTATGACTGGTTTATCATCAAATACAATGACGGTTAAGTAATAAATTAAAAATATTTATATTCTATATAATTATCAAAATATTAAAATTATATTTTCATGAAAAATATAAATTTTTTATTGAAAAAACTGCACTATTAAATTTTTACAAAATTAAAAAAAAAATTTGGAAATTTTATAATATAAATATTTCAGTATTTCAATTATTTTAATTTAAAATTTTAATTGAATATTTTATTTATATATTTTATAGTTTTTTGGAAAAAAAATATTTGTTATCTTCCCGCAATCGCCCGCAACTACAACCGCAAACACTAGCTGTAACCAGTTTTTGAATTTTAAAGATTCAAAGCGATTTGAAGGGGTTTATAGAAGCTGCGTTTGCGGGTGATAGCGTGAGAACGGCCCTAACATTCGTAGCAAAAACAAAGAAAAAAAGACATGTGTGCAGCAGATTTGCTGATAAATGTATCTGATCCAAGCCCGTCTTAAATACATCATGGGCTCTGTGCAAACATTCTTTTCTAACAGTTATCAGCTATTTCTTTAAATTTACAAATTAAGACCCTAAACTATGTGTACTTTAATAAGTAAGGCCACTAATTTTTAAGGGTCATGTGCATGTGAACGTTGGGCATTTCCTAAGAGCAGGCACTGATCTGATCAGTTAATTTATAAAGTCTAAGGGTCCATTTCTAAAGAAATATAACTTTTTAACTCACATCAGTTTTTTTTTTATTATGATATGATTAGATCTGGACATTCGGATCTTCGGATTGGGTTCAGATCAATTCATCCCGTGTCCGCATCTTTTGGATCCTAAAAATTTAGACCAAATTAGAAACTTGAATTTTTTTTATTTGGGGTTCAAATCAGTTTTTTTGCTGGGTGTAGATCGAATCTTCTCGGATCAGATCAATTCATTATGATTAAGATCTATAATTAAAATATATGTCATGTTCAGTTTCGTAATGAATCTGAGACGGGTTTACATATGTAGGATCTATATAGATTTGAAGTATTTGAACCCATCAAAATTTAGCTAGTCATAAACAAGCTGACCTAAAATTTTGCAAAATAACAAAAACAAATTATTAACTAAAACTAAACAATTTAAAACTTTAAATTTGACATTTAAAATTTCATATTACTTGAAAATGTAGACGGGTTTACATACGTAGGATCCATTTAGATTTGAAGTATTTGAACCCATAAAAATTTAGCTAGTCATAAACATGTTGACCTAAAATTTTGCAAAATAACAAAAAATAATTATTAACTAAAACTAAACAATTTAACAACTTTAAATTTGACATTTAAAAATTTCATATTACTTGAAAATATAATAAAAATAATAACAAAGATTGTTTACAAAAGGACATTTCAGTCAAATCATAAACTACAAATGAAATTATAGTTTTGTATATTAATGTTTTTTGATTGGGTATGGATCGACTAATTTTATCGAATTTATTCAGATCAATTCTTTTCGGATCTAGATTTTTTCAGTTTTGATCTATTCGGATTAGTTTTTTCGGATTGGAAAATTTTAGAACTAATTAGATACTTATAAAATTTTGGTTTGGTTTGGTTTTTTGGTAGTGTTTTCGGTCAGTTATGATTTGAATTTCCGAGTAGACAAGATCAATATATCTGTATTATAATACGCTATCACTTATTACCATTGATTTCGATCAATAAGAATTAACCTCTATCCACGAAGACATGTCTCAGTTATCAATATTACTGATCAGGATCTTACCTCTAAAATGAACAAAGCAATGATGTCATACGCATGCGTCATGCTGAGGAGCGAAGGCCTCAATAATGGAGGTGTAGTGGTCAGTTTAGTTATGTGGCGGCACCATAATAAATAAATAATGTTGTATGCAAAATATTGATGTATACATATATCACCAATGTCTTTTTCTTCTTCACCGTTAAAATTCCATCTCGAAGATAAGATCAACCAGAAATGTCATAGTAGTAGTACTGTCAATTATTGTTATTAAAGTGATTCGAACGTGAGTAGTGATTTTCTTATTGGTAGTTGGTAGTATCAACTTGATACATTTAACCATGCATTATATTTTTTACAAATAAAAGCACTATTGAAAATGAGGGTCGATATTGAAAAAAAAAAGATTCCATTTAGCGTGTCCCTCTCAACTCCCGACTATAATTATCCACTTTTAGGTTTGTTCTTTGTGTGACCACTCTTAGCACCGACGAGTCCATAGACACAAACCAGAAACCAAAAAATGAGCGACCCAAGCGGCCAATCCTCAACAACAACCGTCGGTGGTGGTGGTAATAGCAGCGGCGCCGGTGGAAACGGTGGCTCGTTTGCTAGTCAGCCGCAGAGAGCCAAGGTGAGGACGCAAGTGTGGGCTGGAGTTCTCGGCATCTCCACCAACAAATAATTTTTTTTTTTCATTTTTACTTTTGATAGCAAAATGTCTAAGTGAAAAATGGTGGTGGTGGTTATTATGCTTTTGATCATTGTTCTTGTTAACTTTATTGTGTGTAAATAAGCCAGCGAGATCTTGGCCATCATTGTAATGCGTTATTGAAGTTATTTCTTGCTTTCAACTTCTGCACTAATCTTAGAAAACCCTAAACAAATTTTCAAATATTTATTGTCTAGAAAAAGATTAGATTTCGCTCATTCGAATCGATGTATCATCAGAAACAATATCATTTAGGGTCCAGTGGGTACGTTGAGATCGCTTGCACATAATTCAAAGTAAACTATGAGATTTTTTTTTTTTTAAAGATAACTAATGAGAATTTGATGCTTAGTTAAGTAAGGTATGCTAGTATCTCAGAAGCACATGCCCAGTAAAAAAATCAAAAGGACCGTGCATTAATTATATGAAAGACCATTTTAAAAGAATTTTCAAAGGGAAAATAATATAGACTATTGAAAATACTCAATGCTGTGGAGTGTGTTTGAATGGAATAATATCCACTATAGCTGTCTTTATCCATCTTCAACAAATATTTATATATACCTCCCTAGCTAGTTTTCACAGATTATGCGAGTTTACGCAGATGCCTCTAAAAAAGTTCACGAAGAAGTTTATGAAGAAGTACATTAACATAACATAGATATATGGTTTAGCCGAAAAGATTTTAGTTTGATATAAATGTACGTCTACTAGTTTTGCCCAAATCTGCAAAAACTTTGATCAAATGACAACATAGCAATTTGGCATACAATATTAGTCAGCAATTTTGCATATGGGGACTTAAATAGGCCAAGTTGGCAACTACTAATGTTTTAGAACCTTTTAGTTCATCAAAAAATGCATTGGACTATTCATTCTAATCACATTTTAACCAATAGAAAAATAAATTACATGATAAAATTAATAATTTTTTTTATTGAAAACCTAAAACGACATTTATTTTGTAACGATCAGAGAGAGTAATAACTATGAGTTTACTTGGGAAAAGCTCTATTCAACCGGGTACTTCTTTTAACCGGCTAATTCCGGTTCGATTTAATAAATTGATGATTTTAATGTTTTGGTTTAGGGGATTGAAACGGCACCGTGTTGAGTTCCCTTTCGTTTCGGATTAGGGCATAACTGACCAAGGGGAAAACACAGAACAGCGGTTTCCTTCTCAAACTTTCGATATTTTTAGGTAGAAGAAGAGGAAGATGACATCGGATGATGCTAAAGCGATGAAGAAAGAGGAGGAGGATGAAGACAACAAGAGCTTGGGTTCCTTGGTTAGGAAGAAGCCGTCCACAAACGCTAACAATGCTGGTTCTTCAGCAGCTTCGAGGAGATTGAAGAAGGAGGACAATGATGATGATGATGATAACAAACCTATCAAATCATCTTCATCTTCTGGGTCTCGCGCAAAGGCAGTTAAGAAGAAGGAGATTGATGAAGACGACGACGATGAGAAGCCTCTTTCCAAGAGGAATTCCTCTGTTAGCGTCTCAAAGGTTCGATTTTTATATTTATATCTTTCTTAATTTGTTAGGATGTTAGAGATTTGATGAAGGATTGTGTTGGTGTCTTTTAGGAGAAAGAGTTGAAGAAGAAGAAGATGGAGAAAGAGAAAGAAGAAGAGGCAAAGAAGAAGACAGGGAAAGAAGAAGGAGAAGTGAAGAAGAAGAGGGAGAAGAAAGTATATGATTTGCCTGGTCAGAAGAGAGACCAACCTGAGGAGGTTTATTTTTTTTTTGTTTGGCACTGCTTTGAGATTTGTGGCTTTGTTAAGAACTTACATTGTTGATTTTTGTAATTATGCAGAGAGATCCACTTAGGATTTTCTATGAGTCACTCCACAAGCAAGTTCCAACTAGCGAAATGGCTAAGATTTGGTGAGCCTTATTACTCCTTTTACGTGCCTACATTGTTGGTGCAACCTCGTTATAGTTAATGATAAAATGAGCAACTTCAACTGTATATTGTTTTGGTGTTGAATCTGATTATTATGTTTGAGTTGAAAGACTTGTAGTATTCTGTTTTCCTTTGGGACTTGATTGCATGCTTTTTGTTAGTTTTTCGATGGTCTCTTGTGTATATGTGTGGTGACGCTGGCATTAAAAGCTCACATGAAGATTGAAACGATATAAACAGACTAACATTGTTCACAAAGGACATCTCTAATGGTTGTTGTGTGGGTTCTGTTAATGGTTTGCTTCAGATTGCTTTTCTTAATTGAAGACATTTTTATTAATCTCAGGTTGATGGAGTCAGGGCTGCTTCCAGCTGCAGAGGCAAAGAAAGTGCTTGAGAAGAAGTTGCAAAAGACTGGAAAGTTCAGTTCTCCAACAAAATCTGCAGCTTCCACCCCAAGAACCAGCTCCAAGTCAGTGACCGAAAAGAAGGAAGTTAAAAAACCATCAGCATCTGAAGGTTTGTCAGGCAAAAAGAAAGGAAATGATTCGAAACCAACCACTAAGAAGCGAAAGAAGGATTCTGATGATGATGATGAATCTGATGATGATGATTTCGTGGTTAGCAGACTCTCTAATAAGAAGGCAAGAGCCAACTAGTTGGAATTTTAAAAAGTCAGAAATCTCAGTTGTGTGATTTGAAACTATCTAATTGTGTTTCAGGACTTACTTTGTAGAACCCTTTAGAATCGAATTCTGTAAGAGTAATTGCAGAGATTGTTTCTAATCTCTTTAACTGACTAAATCTTCAAGTTTTTTCTCTTTCACAATTAGTAACTCTAATTATTTTATTTCAGCCGTATTAGAAAGATTGTGAGTTAATCAAAACCTTCATATTTGTGTTCCTTTGTACACTTTTATAAACTCACATCAGGTTTGTTAGTAGCGGGACAAAGGTCTCATACGAGAGTAGCAAAGAGAGTGCTTAATCTTATTCATCACACAAACTTAAAAACAGAGAATAGCCATCAAATAGCATAAGCAGAAGTAAGGTCCCATGACCTGTTATAAAGTCTTGAACTGAGTTATAAAGTCCTAAATATATTGCAAAAGCTTCACGTCTTCTACATGGTTTAGAGAAATGTGAACTCTACAATGGTTAAACGCATCCATTCCTTGGATTTCAACTCTTCTGATCGTATTGCTCTCGATACTGTAGTAGTAAACATAGAAACGGTAAGGGCTCGCATACACGGCACGGCGACAACACAGATTTCATCGGTATCAGTCACTCCAACAAAGAAAAAACTTGCATCTGCAACTATACTCTTGACTGATACCAACAAAGAAAAAAACTTGCATCTGCAACTATACTCTTCCACAACGGCGGCAGCGATATGGATATATCATGTTTCGACCATTCATGTTTCTGAGCATGTACTAAAACCCACAACACAAAACATTTAGTTTCTCCGGTAACTTTGGTAAACCATTCTGACAAAAGAGTAGCTAATGTACCCTTGTAGTTAACAAGAGTTGATGGACTCCATAGTACCATATACCTTTAACTAAGGTTCAGCCTTGAATATTTATAGACGGGAAACAATTAATAAGAATTGAACCCATTACTTATATCTTTATTTTGATTTTCATTAACCACTAAACTACTTAATGTTTTATCAAATATTTTGGCCGATATTTTACATAAAAGTTGGAAGCCTATGATTCCTTGGCTTCCCCTCAGACCGCTACTGATTTAACCAGTGGAGATCTAGTGACCAAAGCTACATAATATATAACACCATTGATACATATCCCAAGAGTATAGTTAAAAATATGGGATATAGAACATTCAATCTTTCTCTAATAAAGTTTTCGAGAACTTGATGCTCTTCACAGTTGTCATACTCACTCGTGGTCATGGACAATATCTTGAATTGTTTACAAATTGGATCAAACCCAAGAAAACTGTTCACATGAATACTCTTGGTGTTCACGTTGGCTAAAGGTAAAGGGTCATTACTTAATGGGCCAGGAATGCTAAACGAGCCCATTGAAACGGTGTCATATCATATTCGTAAATAAAACCCTAGGGTGTGTTGTTACTTCATCGTCCTTTTAAAACGCCACACCTTGTCCACATTATCAATATCGCTAGTTAGAAATTTGTATATGTCGTCTCTTTTTTTCTCCCATGGCTTTGATTTCGTTTAAGCATTGATTAGTTTTCTTTTTCCCGTGGAATGTGAAGGAAGTAAGGATATTCAAGTGATGAGATTTGATCTAAAATTCTCACGACGGTCGTCTGAGACTATGTGTCGAGTGATGTACCGATCGCTTTTCTCTGATGAATAAACTTTCCTCACTATCAAATCTCCCTTTTTAACTTTAGTAACCATAAATTTGTTGATTTGTATTTTTAAATTTTTATCTCCTATACAAAAGAGATTCATATTCAATTGTTTTTTTTTTATCTTTGATTGCTTCATCTTCAGATATATACCAACATTGTGTCAATGATGATCTCATATAATTGAAGGAGCTTTGGTAATTGTCAAAAATAATTGATAGAGAAATACAATGACTACGTTTTCTCTTCTCTTAATTAATGGTGTTAGTGGATTGTCAAGTGAAACCTTGTATTGCCTATCGTTGAATTCGAAATCAGAATCTTTCTGAATTGTTAACTCATTAAAACTTTCAGCTGCTATTTCTAGGCGGGAATAGTGTTGAAGAAGGCAGTGACAACTGTATAGTGTAATGATTTTGATATTATTAATTATTTTTACTAAATGAACAGCAAGTGGTGAAGAAGGCTAACGGAGGCTAATCAACTGTTTGGGATTGGGATAGAAGAAGATTCAAAAGGGTGGTGAAGCGCTTTGGTTTTGTTTGAATTCAGTACAGAGACTCATGACAATCAATAGCTGTTCTGTGTTTTGGTTTTTCTTTTGTAATCAACCTTATATGAATCTGTATTCCCTTGTTGGTCCGTTGTGGCTGCTTGATAAAACAAAACTTGTATTTTCGTGTATATTATTCAGTGCAAAACTGTAATTTAACAGAAATTACTCTCGATACAATCATTTGATCGTACTTGTGTTTTGTACGTTCTGTTGATATATACTCTATTTTCTGAATCACAACATATATAAAAGAAGAAAAATTCAAAAGAGATAAATATATATATATATATATAGCTTCTGATGAAATACTCTTTTCGTCAAGCCTCATCAACCAGAACACATTCACAACTGTCTTCTCACGCCTCTCTTATCTCGTTCCTGATTCCCTTTCATACCACCTTGAAATTTTCTTCCACTTTTTTATTTTATTTCATGTCCTCTTCAAATTGCCATTTCTTTGAATGCTGCTGTTCTCATAACACTCCATTGCATAATCAAAGGTAGTTTAATAATTTTGTGATGGTTTAGTGTGATGAGTTTAGGTATTGACTGGTTTTAGTAGCATTTGAAGAAGGCAGAGCAATGGAACTTTGAAGTCTACTGATTAACATTTGGTGCTCATGTATAGTGGAACAAGTAACAACAAAAGTAAATTTAGCATCCAAGTTTCTGTAATCTGAAGATAACTTATGTTTCTTAGTTGACACTTAACAGTCATATATGTATGTTATGGTATATAACCAATCCTCTGACTATGAAATGAGACTAATGTCCAATCTTGATGATATACATTATCAAACTGTTAGGTATATATCCACTATCTGATTGTTGCAGAAAGAAAAAACACTGATCTTTTCAGCCTACCTTATGCACCATAGGAAAAGCCCACAAAATTCAGTTAGTTATAGAGAAAAAACAAAAAACATCTGTCAGAAGTGGGATTTGAACCCACGCCCTCTTTCGAAGACCAGAACTTGAGTCTGGCGCCTTAGACCACTCGGCCATCCTGACATCTTTGTTTTATGTGTATCTATGATTTTGATAATCGGACAAAACAACTTACTTGCATTTGCTAATGATAATATCATGGGTGACCAATGATGATAGAAGTATTATATATGCAAGTTTCGACTACCACTGAAGTCATGCTAAAATGAAAAAGTGAAATTTTAAGTTTTTTCAAACTTTCAAAAACAAAGTCGGCTGCAACAATGGCTTCATTGTGAGTAAAAATGAAATATGTGAAAGTTCAAATAGTTAGTGAAAATAGATGAATAAGCTTTTGAAGGAGGCTTGTGTTTATGCTATTTGCTCAATGTTATAACATCAATAAACATAAAACCAAATATAATTGCACAAAGGCTTAACAGTTGCAGAATACAAGGTTAAAATGAACGCACTTTGTAGAAAACGAGCAAAGATCAAAACTACAAAAGGAGATGATAGACTAGAACCGGGCTTCGTAGCCTGGTGGTAAAGGAACCTCGGCTGAGGTGCCCGCCACCCGACTTCGAATCCCGGCCACCACATAATTTACCTGCGGAGTTGGTGTGGCGCTCCAGACCACTTAGCGTAACCAGGGGCCCTTAAGTGGACGCTTAAAAATCCTGTCATGGCATGGGCTTAGGCCCGGTGGGCTAGTCGATCACGCTTTGTGGTCGGGTACTGGGTTATCAAAAAAAAAAGATGATAGACTAGAACTTTGGAAATAGTGCATTCAACGGATTTTCTTCTTCATCGTCTTTGTCTCCACGTTGTTAGCACATTCACTAATCTTTTTCCAGAAACGATAAAAAATGACTAAAGGTATCAAGACCCACCATCCATTATCCCCAATGTAGTAAGAGTAATAGTAAAAAAAGTTTGCTGCAAAGTTATCTCCTTCGAGAAAAGCAGTAATGAAATACACAAGAAATCCGTAGAGCTGACCAAGCGAAATCGCAAGCTGAAACACGTAGATGTATGACTTCCCTTTCAACTACTTTTTTCAGTTAGTTTATTGAAATATTAAACAAAAAAGAAAAAGATGTTTGGATTGAGAGGAGAGATAAAGACTTTGCACAGCAAGAAGAAAATCAGGGCCTTCTATATAACAGCAGTGATCCCCTCAACAGCTATAACAGCAGAATCTCTGCCTACGTATCTCGAATCACCTTTGCTGTAAGCTGAGCTTCAATCTCCAAGTAAAAATATAAGCTGAAATATAGACAAGTAAAAGGAGCTGAAGATACATTTAGAGCTTCTATTGGGCTTTTTCATCAACCGGTCCATTATATTTGGCGGCAAATACTCGTACATTCCTTCATTAATTTTTTGCTTTCTGTGTCTTTTTCCCATCTTCGCCGCCGAGAACCGTAAGCAAATCTCTCACTCATCACCGTTTCGGAACCCTCCTAAAATCCTTCATATCTCGCTCACTGCTCGGAAAAAAATCTCTTCTCTGCTCTGAAACTTTCTCTTTCAGTAAGGTTTCGCCACATGTCCTTATTTTCTGATACTCGGTTGATTATTTGTGCTGCTCAGTTTTCTGATACAGAGTTTAATTGTGGCACTGTAGAGTGTTGTAGGTTTGTTAGTCTCTAAAACACGCTGAAAAAAATAGTATCGTAATCCATTTCCTGTAGAATCCATTGTTACTTACCATCTCCTTGAGTTCTGTTCCTATTAAATTTGGATTCTGTAACCGCATTCAGACATGTAGAGATGACTTATGTTTTCCTTGTTTTTTTTTTTTGCCTTTTTCAGGTGAAAGGTTGTCGAAATGCAGAAGTCTCGTGAAAGCGGTTTCTTGTTCTGTAATATGTGTTCAACTATGCTAATCTTGAAATCAAGTAAGTATGCGGAGTGTCCTCTATGCAAAACAACTCGAAATGCTCAAGGTATTTTTACATGGAGCTCTTTTTGGATTTTTTTTTTAAAAATCCAATCATACAGTTTTAATTAATCTTAAAACGTCATTGTTTTCAGAAATCATTGGCAAGGATATAGCTAACGTAGTTTCTGATGAGGTATGTTTTTAAACTTTATTCAACAATGTGGATTCTTCTCTGGCTAGTTTTGCTGCGTCTTATAATCTTATATGTGTTATTCACAAGATGTGTGTAAATCAATCGCATATGGTTTCTGTGCGCTCTTGATTTCTCCCTGTCCATTGTTATTACTTACTAGACAGTGAATGAACACAGACAACCCTTATCCTTGCTATGTACTGAGTTTCAGACCTAAAAAGTGGACACTGCTTTTGTTATTTTTGCATCATGAGCAGTCTAAACTTGTCTCTGGAGTGTTTTCTTCTCTTTCTGGAGTAATAGAGTTGGTATACAACTCATGACCTTTGGCATTTTGTAGGATATCAGAAGAGAGCTTGGAATATCTCTGTTTGGTGAAAAAACGCAAGAAGACACTGAGCTACCTAAGGTTTATAAATTAGATTACTTATTCAAAAAAAAAATTTATTACGCTTTTCTTCTCAGGCTCTGACTATTGATGTTTGATGATTTTCTTTGCAGATCAAAAAGGCCTGCGAGAAATGCCAACACCCTGAGCTTGTATACACAACCAGACAGGTAAGTCTCAAGCTTTTCAAGTTATTTGTCTTCTCTTTCATGTCGAGGAATATATTCATCTTGATTTTTTTTTTTTTGGGCAGACAAGATCAGCAGACGAAGGACAAACAACGTATTATACTTGCCCCAATTGTGGACATAGATTCACAGAAGGCTGAGATTATTACAGTCTCCAGCATGAGATTTGATTCACATATAATGCCAGTTTTGTATTCTTACATTTATCTTACCAACTCAATGTTTTATGTACTATTGATTCTTACATTAATCGTATGAGCTCAGTAGTCAAAATCTTATTTAATTTAACTTAAAATTTATGTAATCATCGAAGTTATTTTTTTTAGTATTTCGAATAATCATAGAAAAGGTAACAAAATAAAATAAAACACATTTCCGACAAGGGAATTCTTTGTGTCAAGAGAGCCTTTTAAAAAGTTAAGGCTTAGCAAATCACACAAAAGGAGAGAGCTCTATCACTTTAAAAATTAAGATAGACACAAGCCCATAAAAGCCCATGGGCTTATTTTATTAGTAATATCATCAACGTTACGTACGTAGCAGTAGCACCACCTTTCACCGGAGCTGTAAAACTCGCCGGATGTTATCAGTGGCCACGTCAGTCTTTCCAGCAGCTTCTGCGTTGCAACGAACCTTCGATTTGATCGAAAACTTGGGCATAGGCAAGCTACTCGGGGGAGGAGATAGCAGCAAGATTGTTGGACCGGGATAACCATCAAATCCTTTAGGAAAATCACACGGTTTGTTAGACCAGACCGGAACCGAACCGGTTCGAGCCAATCTTGGTGAAGAATCAACTTTCTTGTGGTGTGTTTCATACGTTGCTCTTGTCTGAGCGCAAGAAAGAGTAGAGCTGTTCACACGTGGGTGAGAACTGTTGAAGGGTTGCAGAGGAAGAGTTGAGCTGTTGCCACGTGGAAGAGGGAGAAGAGGAGGCTGTGAGTAGTTAGGCTGCGACGGCGGAGGATACGCCGGTGAAGATCCCCACGACGAGGCCGGGTTATTAGGGAGTGCCAAACTTCCTCCGGATCTTGAAAGAGATCCACGAGAACCCCTTCTGCTTCTAGGGTTCTTGAATGGTCTCATGCCAGAAACGTGCTTGCCCGGTGAACGTTGCACTGTTATTGTTTCCATTGATTTAATTTTTTTTGAAAATGTTCTTTAATATAGTTTCAAGAAAATAGAGTAGTTTATGAAGATTTGAACGATAAAAACAAGGAAAAAACAGATATATTCGTTTTAATGGCGACGATCTACCAAATAATACGATCGAAAGCCCTATTAGTAGTGTTTAAAACAAAAACAAAAAGGATAAAACGAAGGTTTTCTAAAAAATATTAATATTCAATCTTCGAGAACAAGATCCAAAGGAACGTTCGTTAAGATATAATCGCTCTCTAAGGAACCCTAACCTTCGAGAGGACAGATGTTGCTTGTCACTGGCCCATCTGTGTTCTTTTTATAGTGGAAACCACCAATAATAATGCGTATTTTTTAATATAATGTTTTTAAGTATTTATTTGTTTTACACAGAAATGTCGCAGCATATAGCTTCAAGTTTACATTCCATTTGCGCAATGCAGTACAAGTCCCGAGAACCCCTCTAGGACGGTCACCGCCTATTGAATCTAAGCCGTTGGATCATGAAATAAGTATTACAATAGCCGTTTAGAGAATCTGAGCCGTCTAACACGGGATCTGTTTTTAGGTAGATCGTGACCATACACGTCAGTTTCATCGGTGGCTTTCTTCCTTAATGACCTCACGTGGAAGGAAAGCATGGGTCCTACTCAGTTCGTCACCGTAGATCTTCATTACGTGGCATTACACCAGCCATTCATCGTTTTGGTGAGGATTTCCTAGAATAGGATTGGTCGGTCTTCATGCATCGTTTGCATGTGCCTGCCATAAAAAGAATACCAAGGAGGAGGATATTGAATAGTTTTTTGATATGGTGGACACTATAATATAGAAAGCATATCACTACGATATTGTCTATTGCGTGATGATCAACTTTAAAATATCTAAAGTTGAAATAATTTCACGTTGCAATTTAAAATTGAAATGCAAATGATAGGATATAGGGTCTAATGCTATGCTACCATCGGACGATTAAGCTTGGCTAGAAATCGAATAAACTATTTTAACAAAACATTGTCATTTTCCTAATGTACCATCCTAGTGATTGAGCCAATCGGCACAGCGGAATCTTTTATGTGATAAGGCTTGTGTGTAGAATATAGACAATTCATAGCTGACGGCTAACATTTCAAGGTAACTAAATAGTAGTATAAAATTAGCACCTGACCAACTATAAAAAAAATGTTTAGTAGATGAAAATGCATCATTAGTATCCCGATGCAATACTAATTATGATATGTCATACGTCTTTAATACATAAAACCAGATGAGAGTGAGTTATTCACAATCTTTCTATGAAAATTTCACAATCTTGATAGATTGATATGAATTTTTGTCCATACTTCTTGTGATTATCAAAAAGAATTAATATACCTTTGACAATTCATAAAACGTAATGCTTTTAACACAAACACTCAAATCAAAACAACCTCGTTCTTTTTAATCTACTAATTAACTGCAAGTAGAAGCGTGGAAATCCAGATATATACTATATATGCATATATTATGTCGATGTGCTTAACATCATACATCGAGTGTTATGTTTATGCGTATAGTAACTATATATACATAGATTATACCGAGTGTTTGATCGATTGTTATTTATTGGGATGATCATGGTTAGGTGTGGTTACCCTTTTCTTTTCATCCTTTCGTCTCACATTTAATATTTAATACAGTTCACCGTGTTTGGTAGAACTTTGGTTCTATTTGTTGACTTTCATTTTTCAACCAAAGAAATCAAAGTTTAACACAAATTGCATGCACATAAGTCCAACCTATGCTGTTTTGATATATATATATATATATATACAAGATGCGTTTTACATATCATCGTATGTTTTTATAATCTAAGATCAACACCCCGACCCACCGTAATTAACAAACAGCTCTCATGTTATCAAATATACTTTTTTTTGGAAACTTACTACCCCATTCTTCACAAAGAAGTTTTTAAATTTCCCCCACATTTGCTAGCTTGGGTATAATTATGTGGAGATACCACGAGGACGAGGGTTCACTGCCACTTTTGGAGTCTCTCCTTACATGGTCCACTAGGATTAGTAGTAATGTATTACTTTGTGCGCCGACCATGCTTATCTAAGGCCACGTACCTTACTTTGTATGTTACTAAACCCTAGTTTATATGTAGATCTACTTTTTCTTCATGATAACTTCCATTAAAATGTTCTATATAATAATTTATATACTAATTCTACTACATTTATAATATTTTATATACTCATTCTACTACATTTATATTTTATATTATGGAGTGTGCATATATGTAGTTTTTTTTGTTTGAATGTCATGTTCCATGATTACCTTAAGATCATTCTGTATGTGACTAAAGTATATGGTATTATGGTTTATCGATGTGAGACAATCGTCAGCAGCGAGACAACTAACATTGACTGCGAATATTTGAATCAAAATTTGATGGAGACAAGTCCCATAATATATATACTAACCACTGACGTATAATAACAATAATCTGTAAACAAATTGGCTATAGGCTCTAAATATAACACATATCGATTATCAAACTTCAAACATTCCTTCACGTATATAAGACATGTAGCTAGGTGTATGATACATCTAACTGTCCTATTTTCACACACGAAAGAGAGGTTTCGGACTAATTAAATCACATGATACACCAGGCATACATCTAAGTTGCATCAAATTTTGATCCATTTAATAGTTTAAATGGGAGCGTTTTTCGGCCATTGCGCTAAATATCCTTAAGGATTACACATTTCACTTAAGTAGTTTAATATAAATTTACCCATCGATCGTAGTGGAAGCATTCCTTTTGTCTGGAAGGAAATTAAAAAAAAAAAAGCTAACAAGAGCATGCCTTCAAAAGTTACCTAATTAATAAAACAAGAATGTGGATCTTAACAATACTAAGAAAATAGGTAACAAGAAAGATGAAGCAAAGGTTTTACTGAAATTAACAATCTGATCCCTGAGAATAAAGTTTTACTTTGTTAATACCACTGAAACTAATAAAATCCAGCAAAACAAATGGACGTTATAGAGATACTCCGTAGATAAGGTCTTGAAAGTTTCTTATTCCAACGAATGGTCGGATTCAGATTCAGTTCAGTGGAAACCTTCTTCTTTAGACTAAAGGTTTGTGTGTTTCTTCTCCTATGGTTCACGAAATAACACCTTCTGGCTTTAAAATCCTTGCATTGTATGTAAAATCTCAATTTGTCAGACCATGCTTTGCTGCTTGTTGCCTTGACTTGGTTTTGAGCATAATGGGAATGCACACACATAATGGGCCTTACGTAAACCTTATTTCAAATGGGTTTTATAAAAATTATCCAGCCAACTGTTTTTTGGTCTTTAACAAACGCACAATAAACATTCTGATTTGTCTTGCAGGTAATGGGAAAATGAATATAGCGGTCACGTTTACGTTTTGCAAATTCTTTCATCATTTATGAATTACATAATTTTGGTTATGAATAAAGAAAACGATTTAATATTAAAATTACATAAATGTTATATGATTTCATCATTTCATCGTATCTTTTGGCTATACTCAAATCCTCTAGTAGATTATTTTGAGTTATATTATGCGTTTAGACAAAATAGTACTGGTAAAGTTACTCATAAAGTGCATTGTATATAGGAAAAAAAAACAAAAAGACCTGAAAATTCAATTTATACAATTGTGTAGCAAATGTATTTCAAAGCGAAGAGATGTAATAATACAAACATTCATGCTTTGTAGATGACACGACTTTAACTAAAAGCTTCTGTTTTGATATCTTTTCAGGACTATGTACCAACTGTTTTCGACAACTTCAGTGCTAATGTGGTTGTAGATGGCAACACTGTCAATCTTGGATTGTGGGATACAGCTGGTATATAATCTTTCTTCTTAAACGTTTGGAACATTCACTTTTGTTTCGGTCTTGACTTTTAGTTTGGATTGTGTTGTTTTGAAAACAGGTCAAGAAGACTACAACAGGCTACGACCTCTGAGTTACCGTGGCGCAGATGTTTTCATCTTGCTTTCTCCCTCATCAGCAAGGCTAGCTACGAGAATATTGCCAAGAAGGTTTTTTTGTCTCTTCTTATTAAATAATCAAACATTAAACATATATAGCTTGTGATGAGTAGTGAGCTAAATATGATTTTGTTCCTTTGTATGCTTACTATCAGTGGATTCCTGAGCTCAGGGATTATGCTCCTGCTGTTCCTATTATCCTTGTTGGCACAAGACTTGGTATTCAAACTCTTTCCTTACCTTTGCTATTGTTGTTTTACCTGAACGTTCTTTTGTTTTGTTCCTACTAATCTTATGGTTTTTTCTTAGAAGATTTTGAATAGTCAATTATTGATATTTTTTTTGGTATTTGCGGACCTTCGAGATGACAAGCAATTCTTCATTGATCATCCTGGTGCAGTGCCAATTACTACACACCAGGTATTGTTTTCAAAACGCTTATTCTCTCGCCATGAGTGCCTGGTTCTTGATGAAAACAAAAAAGGGTCTAATGTTGTTAAGTATTGTGCAGGGAGAGGAACTAAAGAAACTTATTGGATCTGCGGTTTACATTGAATGTAGTTCAAAGATACAACAGGTCATAAAAATCGCTTGTCCTGGTTCTTATGTTAGGCATAGACTCTTGTTAAACAGTTGTGTTTTTGTTTTGTTATGGGGATTCTGCAGAATGTGAAGGCAGTGTTTGATGAAGTCGTAAAAGTAGTGCTTCAGCCACCAAAGCAGAAGAAGAAAAAGAACAAGAACCGTTGCGTGTTCGTGTGATAAAAGAAAATCTCTGATGACTTGAAGGTAAGCAAAAGAAAGAAGAAGATGATTTGACTTGTCCCATATTAATATGACTATTTGGACGTGAAGGGAGACATCTCAAGTAGCTTTTTGTATAGTTGCTAAAACAACCTGTGTTGTCTAATCCCTCTCTGTTCTTGATGAGGATCACTTTGTTTATTGACTTATTAATCTAATTAAATCTTTTCTTTTTGCTTCTGTTTTAAGCTGTTTATCTTCTGCCTCATCTCCCAAATAGATGATTGTGAATTTTTATGTGAACATAGTTGTACTGATAAAGTTCTTCCTTGAACACAAAGCTTCCAACAATTGATTACTCTTCAAGCATACTCAATAACAAGAAAAGAGACAACACACCATAAACTCAATGATGTCGGCAGAAACATCATTGGTCTATATTATAAGCGGTTGTTAGATTCGATTCTTTTGAAAAAGTAGTATTACAAGATTATTATCCAAAATTGGGAGATCGTTCAAGTATTATTGACCTTTGTGATTGTTACAATCCGTGGAACTGTACAACGCCTAAGCTGAGAAAGAACAAAACAATTTTGGGGGACCTAAAACAGGACAGTGTATGGCAATGAAAACATTCCCACTTCAGACAAAAACTTTGAACTAGGAAAACATGCCTCTGACTTCTGCACGTTAATAACCGTGTCTTCACTTGTATTACACTTGGTAGGACTACTCTCTTGCAGCCTTGCACTAATAAGCCAGCCATCGCTGTTGCTACTGTCTTCCTCCATGGAAAGACAGGGAAGAACAGGTTCATCAAACAGTGAACTGTAACGTGATTCTTTGCTTGTCTTGTGTTTCTTTTTCTTCTTTGATTCAGATAGACTTGCAGTCTTGTCACTCTCAGGAGAAGTCGAGGGTAGATTCTCATCATGAGATAAGTCGGAACTTGTCCCTGAGGTGGAGCAAACATGATCCTCTTGAGGTTCTTGAGGGACAAGAGCCACGGTTTCTTTTGGTTTCTTGAAGACAAAACGTATCCGTAGAGGATTAACAGTTACAGGCTTAGCTGCAAATGATTAAATGAACCATCTTCAGAATAATTAACAAAAAAATGAAATACATCTAATTAAAGAAGAAAGAATACAAACCTTTGATATTACTCTCAACAACAGGAGAAGCTTCCCTTCTTCTCTTCTTACTATTTTGGCTACCATCAGACAGATACTCAACAGGTTCATCAGTCAAACAACTCCCCTCAAGATGGTCAGATTCATCAGACAACTGCTTGGTCGGTAGGTATATATGTTCAATGGTTTTCTCATTCTTCAGTTTCTTTTCTATCTTTCTCTCCTTCTCTTTACGGTGCACCTTTTTTGATGAGACTATTTGTCTTTCAATCTTTATAATCCATTAGAATAAAGGATTTAGACTATTTGGGTATAATTATCGCAACAAGAACCCATATTAACAAGCAGAAAACAAAACAATGTTAAAGCAAGTGTCAAAAAACATTTAACATACAACACGTCTCTATGGTCGTTGACTATAATTCCAGACCAAACCAAACAACATACATGTTTACACGATACCATTAGCTATATAATATATAGAAAGCCGAATATGCTAATCCTATAGGTTAAGATTAATTTCATAGATCTAATATCAATCAATCTAACAAATTAATTAGGCCCTACAATTTAGTAAAATCCTAAACTATTATGCAAGGCAATCAGATAAGGATATATATTAAACATGGCAATTTAAATTCCCCTAAGCAAGAATTGATTGCTCGACGAACCTTAGTCGATTCGACCAAGTTCTGACCGTTGGTCCAGTTCCTCGCATACACGGGCGTTGGTGATGTGAAATATCTCGACATCGTTATGTTCTCTCTTTTTCTCAGATCGAATCGGTTCAAAAAGTAAAAACGGACACGGACACGGATACGTAACCTAAGATTCAGACAAGCCTACGAAACCTGTATTGATGGCGCGAAATCAAAGCAAGGGGAGGGAAAGCAACCCTAATTTATTTTTCTAGACTCAAATTAACAAAATCGAATAACGAGAGAGAGAAGGAAGAAGAAGAAACAATGGGTTGAGAAAATAATGGGAGAGGGTAAGGTGTGTATTTAAAGACGCGTGAATCACTCAGATCCACCGACTCGGCCTGCGTTTTGGAGAATCATTCATTTAGAAAAAAAGGAAAACCGTAATTGTCAAGTTTCCTTTTTCCCTCGAGGGTTACTTTAGTCATTTATTATCTCCGTGAAACTCGGTCCGAGATAGTTACGTACTGTGAAACACCCTTTCTACCCCTTGCGTATTTCTTACTCTTATCTTCTCTTCTTATTGGGCTTATTTTCACTTTTTAAAGCCCAATCCCATTTACGAGTCTTATCCACTACGCGTTAAAAATCATCGACGGTCTATGGACACGCCACGTGTCCTATAGTGGAAACTTACGCAGGATCCTTCCTTTCCATCAAAGTCTCCGATCATCTTCTCCAGACTTTGTCATCATCGTAACAAACTCCAAATCATAAGCAAACGAACGCTCCAAATCACCGATCAGAGATGCAACAGGGAGATTACAATTCCTTTTACCACCACCAGTACCCTCAATTTCCAAATCCTAATCCTAATCCCAATCCCAATCCTAATCCCAACCCATCCGCAGTCGCTGATCCAATAGATCTGTCTAGGAACACGTACGCGTCAGCTCCACCGTATACCGACGGTTACAGAACGGCCGATTACTCTAATTATGCTCCTCCTTCAGCTCCGGCGACGTCTTTAAACCCTAATTCTTACTCCGCCTTCAACCAACCGCCAGCGATTCATCCACCAGCGTCATCTTATGGATCATTCGATTCCACAGCCACGTATCAGCAATCTACCACGCAACCAATGTATTATCCACCGTATGATCAGCATCAGAGCTCTGGATACCCTCATCCTCCTCCTCCATCTGCTGCCGCGCAAAATCCTTCCATTTACTCATCCTCCTTGTACTCTGCACCTCCTTACACTGGCGGAGAATCTTCCCTTCCTCCTTCATATGAGAAACCGCCTGTGAGATTCGATCAACCTGCTTATGGAGATTACAGATCTGATATAGGATCAGACCTATACGGTAAAAGATCTGAGAGTGGACGATATCAAGATAACTATGGCGACGGCGTCTATGCTTATCAAGGAGGTAAAGTGGAGCCATACGGGTCTCGTGGCACAAAGCCGAAGTCATCTAATTCCACTTTGTTCGATGATTATGGACGTCCCATTAGCCTCTCTTCAGGTAGAGACTCCTCTGCTACCTCGAATTCCGCCAAGATTGTAAGAGCTGTCCCCAAGACTGATGATGTGAAGGAAGATAGCGCCGGTGGTGTCCAGAAGTTTCGTGTTAAATTGTTGGCTGAGACTTACGGACAGACCACAACTGATGTTCTTTGTCTGGTAATGTGTACCAATGAGCTTTTGTGTGTTACTTAGAACTGTTTTTTTTTTTAGTTAATCGGCTGTCTGAATTGTGATAGCAGATTGGTTTGGATGGCCTTCGTATGCTTGATCCAAGTACTAGCCGAATTTTGAGAATATATCCTCTTGAGAACATCACAAGATGCGAGGTAAAGATATTAGCTAATAAGTTTTTTTTCTTTTCTCCAAGGCCTTTTTGGTGTTGTTGCTATTTGCATGAATGAGAGAGTATTATATCTATTTTTTTTTTCTATCCAGAAACTAGATTCGTCTATTTTGGCTTTTTGGTCTAAGACTCCGGTAGATATCGATGCTAAGCGTATCAGACTGCAATCAAATAGTTATACCACCAACGCACTTCTGGACATAGTGACAGCTGCAATGTTTCAGGTTCTTAAACCATCATGTTTTATATCATTTAGGCTTAAGTTTTCAATTCAATCATGCTTTTTGTTCATTAATCCAATAATTTTGTGATGGTGTGTTTTAGGCTAAGGAGATTGGGGGAAGTAGCAGACCTCCTACCTCTGTAAAAATGATGGAGCAAACTGTTGAGAAGAAGAAAGGGTTGGGTGATTGGATGAACATTATAAAGCCTGTAAATGAGGAGAAAGATCATTGGGTACGATTCTTTCGTTTATTTGTAATACAAAATTAACTCACTTGTTGTCAAACCGCTTCCCTTTGTTTGCCTGAGGTTTTGATGGGGAAACAACATCAGTAGCTCTTATCTTTCGTGCTCAACTATGGTTTTGTTATTTCTCACTCCCTTTACATCTGACTTCAGGTTCCAGACGAAGCTGCTTCGAAGTGCACGTCATGTGGGTCAGATTTCGGTGCATTTATGCGAAGGGTATTGTTTCTTTCTCCCTGATCTTCTAATCTAGAATTAAGTTGTCGACCATGCTGGGACTGACAAACCTTATAAACTATTGTTATTTCAGCACCACTGCCGGAACTGTGGTGATGTCTTCTGTGACAAGTGCACGCAAGGTAGGATTGCTCTCACTGCAGAGGAGAATGCTCCTCAAGTCCGTGTCTGCGACCGATGCATGGTAGGAACTGCTCATTTTTCCTTAACGTTGATAAATAATGTTCCATGGATTTCTGAGATTCGTTGATCCAGCCCTAACATTCTGTTCTAGTTAAATGTAAATCTGTGCTGGTAAATTGTTATGTCGGAGTAGGCCTCTTAAAATGTGTTGCTGCTTATATGATTCTGATTCTTGATGTGCAGGCAGAAGTGTCACAAAGGTTGATTAATGCCAAGGAATCTGCTAGCAGGAACGTGAATGTACAGAGCCATGAGGACCTCGCTAGGAAGTTACAGGTGATCATATCTCCCAAGATTACTTACTAAGCTTAACGATTATGCATTTGTTGAGGAAGCACAAATCATACAATTGTTTTCTGATTGCGAATATGTTTGGTACAGGAGGAAATGCAGAAAAACCGAAAGTCTTCATCTGGTAATTATTTATGTTTAATATAAATCATGATTTTTATTTGTTGTTTCTGGTCATTTTGTGATTATTGAGAAATGATATATATGGTTTCAACAGGTTCGAGGGAAGGGTCTGGTAGGAGGATGAAGGAAGTAGCTTGTCCAACATGCACAGTGCACTTGCAGGTCAGATTTTTTGATAATCCATATTCCTGTGTATGATTTTTTGGTCTTATATTTCCTAGAACAAGGAAAACAACAGGGCGGTCCTCCTAGGTATAATCGCGTTTGTTGATGTTATAATAATCTTGCAAATACATTTACGATAGAATAACTAGAGAAATGCACGCATCTATGAGATCTCTTCATTTGAAATAATAGGACTTACCTCCTACTCCTAGGATCCTTTATTTATTTTATTAATGTGAGTATGGAACTGTTACCCATGCGAGCTCAAGTATCAAATAGCTAGGTGCCTAGGTATGATAGTCTAGTTGTAAAATGGATCATGGAGACAATTAGTTTAGCCAGTGGATATAAAACTCGAGCCAGATTGGAAATTGGAAGTTTGATTTGTAGTTATGAGACCAATTCCATCTAAATTGCAGGTTCAGGTTCCAATCTCAGGATCAGAGACCATCGAGTGCGGTGTTTGCCAAAACCCTTTCCTTGTTAGCGCGCATTGATCTTCCTACCCGCTTTTTTCTTGTCTTGACATATATTATCAATCAATGTATGGGATTTGGGTTATTTGTTATTGAATTGGGTTTGATCACGTCACACCAAAATAAGTTGTTGGACGCGTCTCATGTGGATGTTACTTTACTTTGTGTGTACATGGAAGTCTTTGATCATTGGGTTTGCTCTGTGAGAGATACAGATTATATATTTTCTATGGTTGTATAGTATAACATTTATTATGCTACCATTATATAATTGATGGTACTGATGGCACCATTGAAGTGAATGAAGTGCAGCAGAGAGTCCAGCAACATCAACAAATAAACTCCGACAATCGGTTTTAACTTTTTTTGGACCTTAATAAAGAAGGAAAGGAATCAAATCAAACCTAAAAAGCTGAGAACGTGGATTATAACATGGCTATACCAAACAAGGTTACCCTTGAGGCAAGTATGTTTTATAAAGTACACATGGATTTTTTTATTACATGATGTCATGTTCGCTCTGCTTTTCATTACTAGATCAAACTTCTGACAGTTGGGTGAATACAGAGACAAGCCTCTTCCTACAAAATAGGTGAGTATTCATCGCTAGATAAGTGATATGTGTCGTTTAAGTCACGATATATGTAGAGTCAAGTTCTGAGTAGAAACTGAATATAAGGAAGGTATCTCAAAATGTGTGATTAGGGAAGCCTTGAGACAAAAACAACTTAAACACGGCCACATAAATCGCATGCCCTAATCTGCGTAATGCAAATATATATATAAATACGTACGTGCACACATATTGACATAACAGAAGAAATCGGTTGAATGGAAATTTTCGTACTACTACTGTAGTAAGCATGAAGCAATCTTCCACGGTCCATTCTTGTTCTTACTCGATAACATTTCGTTTTCTTTTCTTTTTCATATGCTTTTGTATCTTCTTTTTGACGACGACCCATGCTCAAGTAGTCCACCGACGGCTCTGGCCGTGGCCAATCAGACCTTGGCCAATCAGACCTTGGCCAACCAGACCTTGGCCAATCAGACCTTGGCCGTTTCCATGGCCATTGGAGCCTCCACATCATGGCCCACCACCAAAGCCTGGTCCAGCACCTGGACCATCTCCATGTCCACCAATGCCACCTAAGCCTCAACCAAAGCCACCACCAACCCCTGGTCCGTCTCCATGTCCACCGCAACCACCAAAGCCACAACCAAAGCCACCACCAGCACCTGCCCCGTCTCCATGTCCACCGCAACCACCAAAGCCACAACCAAAGCCACCACCAGCACCTGCCCCGTCTCCATGCCCACCACACCCACCAAAGACGCAAGCAAAGCCGCCACCAGCACCTGGTCCATCACCAAAGCCAGATACATCACCATCGCCACCTAAGCCACCTGCCCCATCGCCAAAACCTAGCCCACCCAAACCACCTGACCCATCGCCAAAACCTAGCCCACCCAAACCACCTGCCCCATCGCCAAAACCTAGCCCACCCACACCACCTGCCCCATCACCACCTAAGCCAAAGAACAAAACCTTACCGGCAGTGTTTTTCTTTGGTGATTCCATCTTTGACACAGGAAATAACAATAATCTATCGACAAAGCTAAAAAGTAATTATCGTCCCTATGGTATGGATTTTCCTATGGGAGTCGCCACCGGTAGATTCAGCAACGGAAGGGTCGCTTCCGATTATATATGTTCGTCTTCTCTTTCTCTCTATCACCATTCCTTTTCTCTTGGGCCAAAGTTTGCCCTAATGTGTGTTCTTCCCGTTGACATTTTACCTAACTCGTTTTTAGATATTAACCTCTAATTGTACTTCTCTCCTTTTTTTCCTGATTCCACTAGCCAAATATTTGGGAGTAAAAGACATTGTACCGGCATATTTAGACAATAAACTACAACAAAACAACGAACTACAACAAAGCGATCTACTTACGGGCGTCTCTTTTGCTTCGGGTGGTGCTGGCTACCTTCCTCAAACATCTCAATCAGGGGTAGAGATCAAATCACGATTCCCTATAGATCATGTTTTGTTGAAATGTTAATCATTATTATTAATACACTGACTGATCATTTTGAATTATTTAAATCAGAAAGTAATACCAATGTTGGACCAGTTGAGAAATTTCCAAGACTACAAAAAAAGAATGAAGAAGCTAGTAGGAAAAAAAAAGGCTAAACACATAGTGAGAAAAGGAGCAGCCATTGTGATCGCAGGAGGCAATGATCTGGTTTTTACATATTTTGGAAGTCGTGCTCAACGCATCAAAAATGACGTCGACGCTTTTACCACCATGATGGCTGATTCTGCTGCCAGTTTCGTTTTGGTACGTGTTACTATCATTTTCTTTAAAATGTAAAATTTCCATCAAAAAGGGTGTATTAATCCAAATATTTGGGCATGCAGCAACTGTATGGATACGGAGCAAGACGTATAGGAGTGATCGGAACACCACCACTTGGATGTACACCTTCACAGAGAGTTAAAAGGAAAAAAAAATGTAATGAAGATATAAATTATGCTGCTCAGCTTTTCAATTCGAAGCTCTTACTTACTATGGGTCAACTGACCAAAACCCTACCAAATTCTACAATTGTTTACGGGGACATATACTCAATCTTCAGTAAGATGATAGAAAGCCCTGAAGACTATGGTAATTCTATTATATTATTTTTATTTCTATTAATACGATTGTGAGAATTCATATATATATATTGGTTACTTATAATATGAGATACATATGAATTTGAATACATGCAGGGTTTGAGGAGATAAAGAAACCTTGTTGCAAAACAAAATTGAGGGGAGGACGTGTACTCTGCAAAAAGAGGACATCAAAAATATGTTCCAATACATCGTCTTATCTGTTTTGGGACGGTATCCATCCCAGTCAGAGAGCGTATGAAATATCAAACAGAAAGCTTGTAAAGAAATACATCCATTTTACCTGATTAATAAGTATCTTTATTATATTATATTATTAATCTTTTTATCTTACGAAAAGGAAAACTTTTGTAATAATATTAATAATGTAGGCATGATCAGTTTCTTTGAAAAATAATGCAAACAACATTTGAGATAGTCATGTAAACTTTTTTTATTTTGTCTCAAACGAATTCCTTATCTATTTAGTCATGTTTGTTTAAGATTTGTATTCCTAATGTTGAGCAAACAAACACGTACGGTACGTTTTAGACTATAATCCCCTTCTCTTAAGATAACAGGGGAACAAATTAACTAATTGGAACAAACAATCACTGGACACACGGATATGGATTATTGTACGGATATGCATTATTGTTTTCGATTCCACTGGTCACATGGATATAAGTTATTGCTTTTGACCCATTTGAATGTTCAGGAAAAGGTTAATAGACCCGAGTTTAACCCTTTTGACCGAGTGATTGTGGTCGAGTAGTAAGGAGACGGATCTGAGACACGAACATGTTTCAGGTTCAATCCATCTGCTGCACGAAACTAAGTCACAATTATGCTGGTCAACTAACACAGATATGAGCCCATGCTTTAGGCCCCATTTGAATACCCGGAAAGAGGGTCTATCCGTGGACTGCACCTCCTGTTGGAAATTAGTCTGGGCCTCTCCATAGACCTAGGATACCCCAGATTAATAAGAAAAAACAATCACTTTAAAGGCAAACGCTTTTTTTTTTTTTTGTTCACAATCACTTTAAAGGCAAACGCTTATTTGCTACATTTTCATATATAAATGGCTTCACCATGTGCAAGTATTATGCATAGACTACTTGAGCGCAATTGAGTTTCGGCCCTGAAGCTTTAACCGTTTCAAAGACACAGAATCGTTTGGTTAATATCATAAACAACAATCATTTCATAAGAACAAATATGCTAATTAACACACTTCAGCAGAATGTGTTTATCGTGTGAGGATAAAATGAGAGAAAACATTTTGCATACGTACGTGTTAGTTAGCATGTTGTTCTTACTTCTTACGAAATGATTTTTGTTTATGATGGTTAGTTGGTTACCTATCAATTTTCTTTGTCTATGAAAAGGTTTGTTTTGGACTGAAAAATCCGCCGATTCCAAAAATACTCTCATTTCATTGGCTCATACATATTAGTTAATAATTTCATTTACTTTCACATGATTTCAAAGATAAAATGATGTCAAGTTTAAGAATCTTGATGATAAGATAATTCATAAGTGTATGTACAATGATCGTATATGCTACTCTATTCATAGCTGATTAGTTTGTATAAATTTTTACCATTAACCTACTAGCTCCTGTTAAAGTCCATATCCGAGTTCAAATCTGCATAATATCCATTTCGTTGACAAAAAAAAATCCTAAAGATCTTACTTAATTTGTATAGAACTTTTTCCGGACAGACTAAGTTCGATCTGCAACTGGTTTACGCTTCCGTGCGATTACTACTTTGGACCCTAATAAGGAGAAATGAAGCTGAAAATAAGGAAAATCTCAAACATGTGATAAACGAAGCTTGAGACACACGGAACCCTAACAGTACACAGAGATCGCATGTCCAAGTGTAATTAAAAATATACACACATTCGTAATGACATCATTAGTAATCTGATACAGTTTAGATGTATCAAACTTGTAAAAGAAGGCAAAGATAAAGGGAAATCCCAAGTTTTATAGATAAAGCTGCAAATACAATGAGTTTTTCTTTGGAGTCTCTCCTCTCCTTTACGTACTACTTGACAAAATAACTGATAAAAAGCTAACACACTCCTCTCTCCTTTCTTATACTCGATCCAAGGTTGTTGCTGNACGCCGTCAAGTAACCTTCGTGACCAACAAACGCACATGCGTTGTCGGTGAGTCAGCAAAACCGTTATTCCTTATTCTCCTACGTAAGACCCGCATACTCCAACACTCTTGGGCCTAAACACTTCTCTGTCCTCATTTCTTCTGGGCCCTCCTCCTGTACTGATACAAGATAGGTGGCCTCAATGCCTCGTACGTATCAATACCATCCCCAACGAAACTAACCTTGTCCTCAAGGTTAAAGTTTGGAAAACGTTTAGTGATGGCAGTGACCCATTCCCAAGTGCACTCATGGCTAGGTAACCCTTGCCACTTGATCAACACTTCCTGCTGTCCAGACTCATTGTTTACTCTCGAAGAAACCACCCTCTCCGGTTCCACAAGCAACTCACCCTCACTGTTCAGCTGCGCTGGTAAGGGTAAGCAATCAGAAACTTCCCCAATGGCCTTTTTGAGCTGTGAGATATGGAACGTAGGGTGGATCTTTGCGGTGCTTGGTAACTTCAGTTTGTAAGCCACCTGCCCAACCCTTCCCTCGACCTCAAAAGGTCCATAAAACCTTGCAGACAACTTCTCATTCAACCTCCTAGCCAAGGTTTTTTGACGATATGGTCGAAGTTTCACATAGACCCAATCTCCAACCTCCAATTCTACCTCCCTTCGACTCTTGTCAGCTTTCTCTTTCATCAACTGTTGTGCCCTCTGTAAGTGTTCTTTGAGCAATGTGATCGCAGCGTCTCTATCCCTCAACTGGCTTTCCAACTCCCCATTATTCGTCGACCCATTCTCAAACTTCACCCACGTAGGAGGATCACGACCATACAGAGCCTTGAACGGTGTCATCTGCAGCGTTGAATGATAGGCAGTATTATAACTAAACTCTGCCCAAGTCAAGTATTGTGCCCAAGTCTTCGGTTTATCACTTGCAAAACAACGCAAGTACGTCTCCATACTCCTGTTAGTTACCTCCGTTTGCCCATCTGACTGTGGATGATACGCAGTGCTAAGGCAGAGACGCGTACCCGATAGACGGAACAATTCTTTCCAAAAGGAGCTTGTGAAAACCTTGTCTCTGTCGGATACGATGGTTCGAGGAAACCCGTGAAGGCGAATCACTTCTTGAGTGAAAACCAAGGCCACATCTGTTGCAGAAAAAGGGTGACTCAACCCCACGAAGTGACTGTACTTGGTCAATCTGTCCACAACCACCATAACCGCGTTCTTCCCTTGAGAGCGTGGGAGGCCTTCTACGAAGTCCATAGAAAGGTCTTCCCAAACTTGTTCCGGGACCGGCAATGGCTGGAGAAGCCCCCCCGGGGAGAGCGTGGAGTACTTTTGCCGTTGACAAACTGTACAAGCTGCCACCAAACGCCTAATATCCGTAAGCATCCCTTCCCAAAAGAACAATTCTGCAATCCTCTTCTGCGTTTTTACCACTCCCCCGTGTCCTCCCATTTTCCCTGAGTGATACTCCTCCATGATAACACCCACCAGAGGTGAAGCGCGAGGTAACACCAGTTTCCCTTTTCTGAGTAGTCGGCCCTGAACGACAGAGTAATCGGGATGCTTCAGGGGATCCTCTTTCCACTCAGCTATCAGCTTCTGCAGCCCAACGTCTCGGTCAACCTCACTCGCTATCTCCTCTAACTGTAAGGCCCTTGTGGTTGACACTGCGTACAGTTCTGTCACCTCCACCACGCGGGACAATGCGTCAGCTGCGCGGTTCTCCAGACCTGGTTTGTAAACAATCTCAAAGTCGAACCCCAGCAGCTTGGTCAACCATTTTTGATACTCGAGATTGACCTCGCGTTGTTCCATCAAAAATCTTAAGCTCTTCTGATCGGTTCGGACTAGGAACTTCCTCCCCATTAAGTAGTGACGCCACTTTTGAATAGCAAACACAATCGCCATCAACTCTCGCTCATAAACGGATTTGAGTTTCTGTCTTTCTGTCAGGGCTTGACTGAAATACGCGATTGGCTGATTGTTTTGCATGAGAACAGCTCCTAACCCAATTCCTGAGGCGTCAGACTCAATGACAAAGGTTTCCTGAAAGTCTGGCATTGCTAAAACTGGCACTGTGGTCATGGCCTGTTGGAGGGTTCGAAAGGCTTTTAATGCATCTTCTCCCCAAGCAAATTGATCCTTCCTCAGCTGAATAGTCAAGGGCCTGGCAATACTACCATAATCTTTAACAAACTTACGGTAGTACCCAGTGAGACCCAAGAATCCTCGAAGTTCTTTCACATTCCGAGGAACAGGCCATTGTAACATTGCCTTGATCTTCTCACCATCGACTGCCACCCCTGCACCCGAGATGATATGCCCCAGGTACTCGACTTGCGAACTCCCAAACTGGCACTTCTTCAGGTTTGCATAGAGTTTCTGTTCTTCCAGAATACGCAAAACCAGGGTCAAGTGCTCCTTGTGTTCCTCTGGAGTTTTGCTGTAAACTAATATATCATCAAAGAACACGAGCACGAACCGTCGTAAGTAGGGTCGAAATACCTGATTCATCAGAGACTGAAACGTGGCTGGCGCGTTTGACAGCCCGAAAGGCATGACGAGAAACTCGTAGTGCCCATCATGTGTCCGGAAGGCGGTTTTTGGTACGTCCTCACGCTTGACCAAAATCTGATGGTAACCGGAGCGTAGGTCGAGTTTTGAGAATATCTGAGCTCCGTGCAACTCGTCTAACAGCTGATCGATCATGGGAATTGGGTATTTGTCGGCCACAGTAACTCGGTTAAGGGCTCTGTAGTCGACACAGAACCGCCAACTCCCATCCTTCTTCTTGACCAGTAGGACCGGGCTGGAGAATGGGCTGCCACTCTCCTGGATAATACCCGCGGCAAGCATGTTTGCAATCTGTTTCTCGATTTCGGCCTTCTGAATTTGCGGATAACGAAACGGCCTAACACTAACAGGGCGTGCACCAGTTTCTAGCGTAATCCCATGTTCTTTCCCACGAGAGGGAGGTAGCTCCTTAGGTTCCTCGAACACCACTGCAAACTGCTGGAGTACCTTATCCCATTCCCCAAAAGAGGTAACTGGAAGTGACGCTTTCTCACACTGCACTCCCCCATATTCCACCAGTATGCCTTCACCTTCGTTACCCATCGCCTTCCACAAGGATTTGAGAGAGACCCGAGCTGAGTGTAAGCTTAGATCACCTTGAATTGTGACCCATTCACCATTCAACTGGACCCTCATCGTCTGCGTTTTCCAATTCACCAACATTTCCCCCAGCGTATCGAGCCACTGGACTCCAAGTATGACATCTGCAATTCCCAACTCCAATGGAAGGAAGCTAGTCTTGACTGTGCACGATGGCAGTTGCAACTCCACGTCTTTAAGGACACCTCGTCCGTGGACTTTGACTCCTCCTGCCACCAGAACGCCATACTCTTCAGTGGAACTCGCCTGCAGACCCAACTTTCCCACTAACTTCTCAGACAAGAAGTTATGGGTCGCGCCGCTGTCGATCAACACCACGACTTCCGTACCTCCAATCTTTCCCCCAAGCTTAAGCGTCTTAGGAGATGTAATCCCCACCACTGAATTGATCGACACCTCCACTACCATCGCCTCAACGACTCCAGTCTCTTCCGGCACCTCCCAGGGTTCATCGAGAAGCTCCTCCTCCTCACCGTTCGCGTGTAACACGAGGACGGTCACTTGAGCTTGAGAACACGGATGATTCGGGTGGAATTTTTCGTCGCATTTGAAACATAGTCCCTCAGCTTTCCACCGCTCGACCTCTGCCGGTGTCAGCCTTCGGAACGGCGGTTTCAGACGTCCGTGAGAGTTTTGTGCCCTAGTTCCAGTACGATTTTGCGCCGTAACATTGGGTGTGGTTTGGGTTTTGGGCCGGGTTTGGGTTTGGGCCTGAATCTGAGTATTATTAGTGGGCTTCGATGAATTTTGTGGGCTACTCGAGTTGGGTTTGGGAGAACGAGTCACCACCGCGTCGTCCTCACTGTGCCACTCCTCCACTCTCTTCGCCATCCTCATCATCTGCTCGAGACTCAAAGGATCAAACATCCGTAACCCAGCACGTAACTTAGGGCGCAAACCATTAGTATACGCCTTCTCCAGCACGTGATCAGGAATCCCCTCTGCGTTGGACGCCAAGCTCATGAAATCGCGATTGAACTCCTGAATCGTACCTTCCTGTTGAATCTTCAGCAACCTCTCCACTGGTGTCCGATCATTCACGGTGGAGTATTGTTCCAACACGCGGTACTTGAGTTGTCCCCAGCTGCGAAACGGGTTTCGTCCGCGTTCCCACCGGTACCACATCAACGCCTCTCCGGTGAAACACACACGAACCGCTCGAAGCTTGTCCACCTCGGTTAACTCCCCCAAATCGAAGTACTCCTCCACGCGGATCACCCAGTTCTCCGCCTCTGTTCCGTCGAACGTGGGCAGCTCCAAACGTCGAGTCAGCTGTGGGTGACGCCAGGGACGGTGCTCTTCATATGGTCCTGACCCTTGTCCGTTAAACCCACGACCGTAAAACCCATCATCGTACACATGAAACGGTGGTGGCGTTGTAGGACTGCGTCGATCCCCTTCATAGTCTACCTTACTCCCAGTCAGCGGCTCGGAAACAGAGCTCTCCACTTGATGCGCCTTACCCTTCTCGAGTTCACGAGCCTTGAGTCGCGCATCGCTCTTCTCCTTCTGCTCCTGTTCCCAGCTAGTAAACATGATGGAGATCTGCTTCTGCATCATGGTCACGGACTGCTCCAACGGCCCCAAACGAGTCATCTCTTGTTCGATTGCGGAGATACGACTTGTTTGTTGCTGTAGTTGTTCCAAGGTAACCTCTGGATCTTTTGGTTTTGGTGCCATTTTCCCAACGATCGAAGGCTCTGATACCAATTTGATACAGTTTAGATGTATCAAACTTGTAAAAGAAGGCAAAGATAAAGGGAAATCCCAAGTTTTATAGATAAAGCTGCAAATACAATGAGTTTTTCTTTGGAGTCTCTCCTCTCCTTTACGTACTACTTGACAAAATAACTGATAAAAAGCTAACACACTCCTCTCTCCTTTCTTATACTCGATCCAAGGTTGTTGCTNACGCCGTCAAGTAACCTTCGTGACCAACAAACGCACATGCGTTGTCGGTGAGTCAGCAAAACCGTTATTCCTTATTCTCCTACGTAAGACCCGCATACTCCAACACTCTTGGGCCTAAACACTTCTCTGTCCTCATTTCTTCTGGGCCCTCCTCCTGTACTGATACAAGATAGGTGGCCTCAATGCCTCGTACGTATCATAATCTAATAGCATAGTGGTATAAACACATGCAAAATAGTATCATTCGTAAAATTCCATACTTAGTTTTTGCTAAAGAAGCTGTTCTTTTTTTCAGAGATTGATAGTTATAGCATTATGAAACAATATAAGCTGCTTGGATTTGTTTTCTTTTTCTTATCACCATTTTGTATCTTTTGCATGACGACGACCCATTCCCAAGTGATCCACCACCGACGATTGTGGCCATGGCTACCACAAGATTCTGGTCCAGGCCCACCACCTGATCCATCACCCCCACCGCCTGATCCATCACCAAAGAACCAAACTCCACCGGCAGTGTTTTACTTTGGTGATTCAATCATCGACACAGGAAATAATAATAATCTAACAACAGAAATGAGATGTGATTTTAGACCCTATGGCATTGACTTTCCTACGGGAGTTGCCACCGGTAGATTCAGCAATGGAAAGGTCGCTTCTGATTATATATGTTCGTCCTCTTTCTCTCTTTTTCCTTTTCTTTTTGGCCGGAGGTAGCCGGAGCTTTGCCTAATTTGTATTTTTTTCCCGTTAATATGTGACATTTTTATTTTGTACATGTATCAGTTCATTTTGAAGATAATATATTTATTATTTTGTTACAAGACCTTTAAGAAAGAAAAAAAAACATTTTGCAGATTTTTTTTAATGCTATCTTTGCTTCTAAAACATCGAGGATTTATATATTTGTTATTTTGTTAGGTCGATATATATGATCTTTTTTAGTTCCTCTAATTACTGTTTGTTGGTATCATAATCCATGCAGCGGGATATTTTGGACTAAAACCGATCGTACGAGCATATTTGGAACCCAACGTACAAATAGAAGAACTTCTCACTGGCGTATCATTTGCTTCGGGTGGTAGTGGCTATTACCATTTAACACCCAAAATATCAGTAAGATCAAAAAAATCTCTTCTATCACTACACTTCTTAGCTCTAAGCCTAATGATCATTCATTAAAAATATAACCAGAATGTAAGGTCACTGTTGGAGCAGTTAGAATATTTTGAGCAATATATAGAGAGACTAAAGAGGTTAGTAGGGAAAGATAAGACTGATCACTTATTAGCCAAGGGCTTAGCCATTGTGGTCGCAGGCAACAATGATCTGCTTATTACATACTATGGTCAAGGTGCTCAATCGCTTAGATACGACATTCACAACTTTACATCAATGATGGCTAATTCTGCCGCAAGTTTCGTTATGGTACGCTGCTTCATCCATCCTTTTTTTTTAAGCTCATAATTTATTTACCCCAGGTAAATTGAAATTTTCTAACAACTAAACGCACCCAATTTAATAAGAACTTGACCCTAAGAGAGGAGTTTGCAATGCAATGGTGATTGTCTCATTGTGTCATTGGGTCGGAGGTCCCCAAATTTCGAGTAAACTCTAAACTTATATTACATGTGATTCCACGGTTCTGGATTACTGACTTTGGCCCCAGTCTTCTGGTATTCAAGGAAAACATTATGATTTTTCTGGGACTATTTTGAATAAAAATTAATTTATGATAGGATCTGAAACAACAATATATTTTTTGGAACTAGTCAAAGTGATTTCATGTATCAAAAACCGATCTATATATATATGATTTTAATTTTTTTTTTAAACTACAGAAATCCCACGTTACTTAGAATTATGGGAGAACTGTTCAAATATTAACATACTGAACTGATAATATGGAGATAATTAATTAAGCAGCAGTTACATGGACATGGAGTAAGACAAATAGCAGTGTTAGGTACACCACCACTAGGATGTGTACCATTACAAAGAACCATAAAGGGAGGTCTTCACAGAGATTGTTATCAAGATCTAAACTATGCATCTCAGATTTTCAATGCCAGACTCTCCATCAAGTTGGATCAATTGGCTTATGCCCTACCAAATTCAAATGTCTTCTACATCGACATCTACTCTCCTTTCAGTGACATCATGAAAAACTCACAAGATTATGGTAATTTTAGACCACACACGACTTCTTAAAATTACAAAAACGAGTTTTATAGTAACATGTGTATATATATAGCTTGAATTGGGATTTTAATGTTTCAGGGTTTGAGGAAGTAACGAAAGGATGTTGTGGAACTGGACTTGTGGAAGCAGGTATACTCTGCAATCGATATATAACAGATGTGTGCTCCAATGTATCTGCTTACGTGTTTTGGGATAGCTTCCATCCTACCCAAAGATTCTATAAAATTTTAACCAAAATAATAGTTGATAAATACATACACAAGTTGAAATAAAATGTGATTCTGTATTCTTTCCGTTAGGCTCAGGCAATTATAGCTTGATGTATGAAGCCATTGTAAGTCACTCTATTTGGTTGTAAATTGACTATATTAGAAATTTTCATCCCTATTCACATGGTTTGTGGAAATCTCATCAGTGATTTAGTGATGAGCTACGTCGTAGAAATATCATCACAACATCAACTCCATTTTCTTACAAATCTTTTTCATTATTTATTGTTTTGTTATCAGTTTCGAAGAAGATCATAAGCTTCGACACTATTACGATACTGATAACAAAACAAATACATGCGTGTTATTAGATCAGCTCGACACTATTAAAACACCATTATCCCTAACACCCCATAATAGGATACTTAATTTTTTTCTTTTTTAAAATTTTTTTTTTCTGACTACAAATTTTTTTATAAACAAACCAATCGCTGACCGCCACGTATCAGTGGGATCCGTAAAAAGTTAAAACATTCGTTTATACAAGATTCATAAGCACCAGATTTTTGAGTTTAATGGGATCCACCCCACTTTTTATTATAATTTTGATAAGCACTCTCTCTTAAATATATGGGATGAAGATGCTCTTACATCTCATATTTTTGTAAATTATATATGTGTGTTAATAATTATATTGGAGATAAACAAAGAATATAATCAGATTATCATCTTAATTCAGATATTTCTTTTAAAGTTTTTTTTTGCTTAATATCCATTATTTAATTTTACTGCTTAATAGTAATTCCCAACTTCACATGGATTTCTTATTTAATCTTTTCCCAACTACAACGTAAATACTAGGTAACATTTTTTTATTTTATAATTTTCCAAATTTCAGTTAATTAAATAAATATTTAGAGATCTTGACAAAAAAAAAAGGATAAGTAACAAACCGATTTTATTATTATTATCACAACAGAGATATTCTAATTTAACTTAACCCATATGAGTCCTATAAATACAGAACCCATTCGCTAACCCTTTTGTGTTCATTCATCATAACACTCATCGCAAACGCCGAGTCTCCCTCTCTTCTCTCTCTCTGCCTTTTCGAAATCAAAAGTCGTTTCTTTTTCAACAACCATGTCAAAGAAGATCATCCTCAAGAGCTCCGACGGCGAATCGTTCGAGGTAGACGAAGTGGTTGCGCTCGAATCCGGGACGATTAAGCACATGGTCGAAGACGACTGCGTCGCTGAAGGAATCCCTCTCCCGAACGTCACCAGTGCCATCCTCGCGAAGGTCATCGAGTACTGCAAGAAGCACGTCGAAGCCGCCGCTGAAGCTAACGCCGGAGACAAGGATATCTACGGTAACACAGAGGACACTGAGCTGAAGAATTGGGATGCAGAGTTCGTTAAAGTTGATCAGTCTACGCTCTTTGATCTCATCCTGGTGAGTAGTCGATTAGGGTTTTGAATTAGGGTTTTGTGTGTGTTTGATTTTGAGTAAAGGTTGAGTCTTTTAGGGTTTTTTGATCGTATAGGGTTTAGGGTATGGTTGATTTTGAGTAAAAGTTGAGTCTTTTGATGGTATCAAGTTAGGGTTTGTGTAATGATTGATTTAAGTAAAGATTGAGTCCTTCTGATGGTTTTTGATGGAATGCTGTTTTGGGTATGATTGATTTTGAATAAAGATTGAGTCTTTTAGGGTTTTTGATGGAATGCTGTTTTGGGTATGATTGATTTTGAGTAAAGATTGAGTCTTTTAGGGTTTTTGATTGAATAGGGTTTTGTGTAAAGATTTGATTTTGAGTAAAGATTGAGTCTTTTTGATGGTTTCTTGTGTAGGCGGCTAACTATCTGAACATTGGTGGACTTCTTGACCTTACGTGCAAGACTGTGGCGGATATGATGACAGGGAAGACTCCAGAGCAGATGCGCGAACACTTCAACATCAAGAACGACTACACAGCCGAGGAAGAAGCAGAGGTTCGCAAGGAGAATGCATGGGCCTTCGAGTGACTTTTGATCCCTGTTGGTGGTTTAGGATCCTTTAGTCTAGTCTAGTCTTTTATTAGATGTCTTTCTTTCTTTTCTCTTTTGGTTTTAAGTTTGTCGTTTAACTACAAACATAATTATTTGTTCTACTAACAAGTTCTGTTGGTTTTTATCATAAAACTTGGGTGTTTCTGCTGTCTTTTGATCTATAATTGGTCGCTATCATCTTATTTGCTCGTTACAACGAAACTCTGTACATTCCATTAGACCATGTTACTGATCCAAACGCCTCTTTCTTAAGTGTGGATGTTGATGATGAAAAAAGATTACTTGGTAGCTTAGTTTATCTCCATCTTCTTGAAGTGTATCACTCTGACTCGTATATCCCTTTTGGTGCATCGATTGCTCGCATTGTATCTTCGACTCCAGTGAGGCGTGAACTACATTAGTCACTGTTCTGCCTACCCTTGTGCTGTCTTCTCCGCTTAAGTTTAAACTTGAGATTGATAGGTAGTTGATGTTCGATATCTCCCTTGTTGCTCTGTTCAGGACAAGCAAAATCTTTCGGTATGCGTTTGAGATCTTTCTTACCTGACCAGAAATGCACCCATAGTAGCAGGGAAGTTTAGGTAGTCTGTTTGATTGGTTTCATAAACCAGTCCAGGTGACGAAGGCCCAAATATAGTATCCTGACCAGCACCAGAGTCATAAGGTGTGGCCTTGTCACCTGTTTCTGTAGTTATATATGGGACTCTGTGTTGGTCTCTTGACTTGCTTGTTTTAGATTCACAGTTTTGTATCATAGACCAGGAAATAATACAAGAAGAGCGTTCATTATTTCATTGTTGAGGAAAAGATGTAGTTTTATTTTGCTCTAAGTTAAAGTTTTATTATTTCCACATCCATCATTACTGAACTTAGCTTTATACCATTACTCAGTTTGTGGTACTAGTCTCGCTACTAATTACAATTGGACTTCTGACCCTGTACTTTGCAGTAGACCAAGTAAGAGCCCCAAATACATCTTGCTTAAGTGAAGCACCAGCACCAGCAGCAGAGACTGTCACCTGGTATGTCAACTTCTCACCATCTTTTGTAAACTGGAGTTTCTCTGGCGTCACTTGAATATTAAACCCTGGTGGTGTCTCCACGCTGACTGTGTAAACAGCCACACCGTCTCCACCAACATTAGTCACTGTCCTGCTCACTGTCTTGTTCTCATTCCCCTTGTATCCAGAGATTCCAATTGATGGATAATTGATGGTTGAGATCAAGTCTAGTTTGGAATCTGCAGGACAAGTGAAATTTGCTGGAACCTCTTTTGATATTGTCTTGATTGTGCTTATGTTGTAACCATAGTAACAGAGGAAGTTCAAGTAGTCAGTAGCAGTAGTCTCGTAAACAAGTCCTGGTTGCATTGATGCTGTTGTGCTCAGCTCTCCTGCTCCAGTGTCATAAGGTGTGGCTGTTGCACCAGTTTCTGTTGTTATAAGACCTTTGTCATTGTTCGTTTGAGTCGCTGCAAAACAGTATGGTGAGAATCATATACCATAATCACAATCTATGCAAAAAGGAAGGGACCTATTTAATATAACCTGTTGTCATAATTGCTGATCTGATGGCAGATGGACCCCATGTGGGATGCAGTGATTTGATCAGAGATGCAACAGCTGTAACATGAGGAGCCGCCATGGAGGTTCCTGATATGACGTTAAACTGAGAAGGCGGCTTGCCTTCCAGTGAAATACTTGTGTCCTGTCCTGTCCATGCAGCGAGTATGGCCACTCCTGGTGCTGTTATGTCAGGCTGTAAAATAGAGGTTAAGTATATGCTCTAGAAAACAAGATAAGGCCACAAGTTTTTGTACCTTGAGAATGTTTCTTGTGATGCTTGAAGGACCTCTGGAAGAGAAATAAGCAACAGAAGGTGCAGGTGTGAACTTCTCAACTGTTAAAGTGGGAAGAATCGTTGCTACAGGATCTCTGCAACAAAAGGTTTTCATACATTATAATTCATATATAGAAGAACTTTTGAGACTGCAAGGTTTGTTTTGATTAAGTACTTGGTGGAGTTGAGATAGGAGAAGATCTCAGCTGCTTCCTTTGAGTCAATTACAGTCGTAGGAAAAGTGCCATAAGCACTAGCAACTGCTCTTGTTTTATCATCTACAAAGATGCAACCGATGCCTCCTTTGCTCTTCACTTCATCCCTAGCGCTTGATGCATAAGATGATCCATCAACGTTCTCGCATAACACAATCTTCCCTTTCACCTTCTCTTGATCTAGAGAACCATAGTCACATGTCCTGAAACCAAGTAGTAGTTAGTAATTCTCTAACATATGTTCAAGGTATTGTATTTGAATTTAAAGTTATTTTAAAACCTGGCTGAACTTTCAGAAGCATCAGTGCTTTTTGCAGATTTGCCATGAATCAGAGGATATATAGGAGACTTACTAACATTCCCAAAGTGAATGCCTTCTCCCTGTAAAACCCTGAACACTCAATGTTCTGTGTCTTTTATGTAATAACATCTCTATGTTTAGCTTTTTTTTTACCTTGATTATTTTACTGCCTCCAAGCACAACATCAGACTCTAAGTCTCTGTCAATAGTATTAGCTGCAACAGTCATTATCCAAGGTGCAGTATTGACAACAGTACCACCATTAGGTCCATCATTACCCGCAGAGCACACCACAAGGATCCCTTGCTCCACTGCATGAAAAGCTCCAATGGCTATAGGATCAGTGTTCAACTCTATCCGAGCATAAGATGGAGCTCCAAGAGAGAGCGATAGAACATCAACTCCATCCGCAATTGCATCGTCGAAAGCAGCTAAGATAGAGGAGCCAGTGCATCCACCTGGATTGCATACTTTGTACATAGCTATCCTAGCGTTTGGTGAACCTCCCTTAGCGGTTCCTGAGGCTACACCGTAGTAGGATGCGTTCTCCACGGCTGATCCAGCTGCAGTGGAGGATGTGTGAGTACCGTGACCGATCACATCTCTTGTGGTGAAGTATTCTGAATCATCATCAGGACTTTTGTAGAATCTTGCTCCTATTATCTTTCTGCATATGACAGTTAATTACTTAAAAAGAAGTTAGTAACATAACATCTAGTGTAACTTTTTGGGAAGGATATGAAAGAAAGTGTGTAACCTGTTACAGTTAGAAGAGTTGAAGTCCTTTGCTTCCATGCATGTACCTTTCCACCTAGATGGAATTGGACCCATGTCTTTGTCATTAAAACTCTCTGATTCTGGCCATATTCCTGTTTTTTTGTTTTTTTCATATTTGTATTAAACTCATATTTGTTTGTAATAGATCAAATGAGTGAAAGGCTTTACCTGTGTCCAGAATGCCAATAATGCTATCATATGATCCATCTGAAGCTGCTGATGAAGGTGGACCAGAATCAATCTTTACTGATGTTTGGTACTTGAGAAAGTCCCATGAATGAGTTGTGTGAAGCTGGTAGTTTGGATCAGGAAAAACAGACACAACTCCTGGTTTCTTGGAAATGAGTTTGGCCTCTTCAGCTGTCAAACGAGCAGCAAAGCCAGTGAACCCATGTTTATATGTGTGGACGATATCATTAGCTCTCCTACAACAACAAACCCATCTCAAAATCCAAAAAAAAACAAAACTATATGTAAATAACAAACACATATTAAGAAGTGTATATAACCTCTTAAACATGGTGTTTATGAGTATTTGAGCTCTATAAGCGTTTGCAGCAGAGGAAGCTGATCCCATGTAGACAATGTAAATCCCATCACCGTTTCTGAGTCCAGCTTCGGTTTTTGTCGTAAATGATATGCATAGAACAAAGAGAAACATTAAGGAGAAGGGTGTGAAAAAGGAGGTAAGGCCGTTCATAGCTCTTGTAGTTTCTTAGTTAGTTCAAGACTTGTTCAAAAACCATAACACAAGAAAGGGTATTTATAATGGTTGAGATAAAGCAAAGAGAATCACGAGTCACTAATAGTTGAGTTGGTTTTCCCCACTTTGAAAAGTTGGTGGGTTTTTGAATTGGGCAGAAAGTTAGAGATATAACAAGCTAGTGATCAGACCACTATCTTCTGTTCAAGTCATTACATAACTTCAACATGTTTTTTCTTTCTTTCCACGGTTCCAAAGACTTTGAGCAAAGTGATTACTACATTACACTTTGCAACTCTAGATAAGATAAATCCATATAGTTTTATGATGTTGAGTGACCTACTAATCAGACAATTCTTGACACAATAGAAGAATATGAATTGAGTCTTCACTAATTTCGAAGTATTAAGTTCATATACATGTGCTCATATAATAATGTCAAAAATGATAGGTGAAGTAGCCAATAAAAAGAGAGTGTGGTGCAAGCATGAGTGCTACTCGTATGGATTCCTCCTAATCCAATTATCCAAAGCATGCGTCCAGGTTTGTACTTAAACTAATTAGTCGTGACATGAACATTTTATATATAGTAACTTCCAATTTTATGATTTGAAAAAAATGAAATTATATTGCCGACTTTGTAGTGGTTATGACTGGAATGCACTCGTGCTACTTTGGAAAAGTATGTATTTATCATCAATATAAATTCTTTTTTGAGTAATACCTTTAAATAATACCAAATCATGTTTATAACAAAATTAGTGTACAAGAGAAAATATACAAAAAAAATCCAAAAAATCAAAAACACACACACACACACACACACCTATATATATAAGTATAACTCTAGATTGTCTTATTAAGCTTTCAAGACAAAAACAAAACAAAACTTATATTTTATTTATGTATGGATTCAGTGATTAGGATTTAAGATTTAGACTTTAACATTTAGGGGATGGGAGTAAATATGATTTACGAGCTAGAGTAATTTAATGTTTTAGTATAAAATAAGTGAAAATTAGAAAATAAAAGAAAATAACATAAACATTTTAGTAGCAAAAAATGTAGAGTAAAACTGGAAAAATATCTCAATTGATTGGTAAATTTTAGTAGAATTAGATTTTTTATTCGTGAAAAGTGAAAAGTGAATTGTGTATTTTGAATTTGTTAAATTTTTCTTTTTTAATTTTTATGTGAATTCATGCGGTATACATTGTATTTAGTTTAATTCTAAATTTAGCATAAGTTTTTGTTTGACCAATTTCAACTGAATATTTTAATATTTTCCTATTTAATAAATTAGTATAGATGGAAATTTGAGTTTCACAGTTTTCCCTACGCACAGAGATTATCTATTAACTATTATAATTAGGTTTCTATTAGACTAAACCAAAAGAATATCATAATTAACACAACAAATATGAATAATGTAGTTAGGGGCTTATTTTTGGCCTTTTTGTAAACTTCTGGCTTGAATCATCTTATTATAAAAAGTAATTTCTCATTTTGTAAACTTCTGTTTTGTTTCAGTTTAAGTCTAATTGATTCAGTAACTAGTACATATATGATTTCACGGACCGAAAATGTAAAATGTAGATGTGTAAGGTTTAAAAAAATCATGTGGCAAAAATAATTCTAAATCCCCATTGGTAATTAAGTGAACATTCATAATATACGTTATTCAAAATGAGAAAAAAAAAACAGTTACAAATCATGAAAAGTATAATATTGCATCTCGAGGTATATTATGATTTGGTCTTCTTTATATCAGAAAGTCCATATATAATACCAGCTAAACGAACGCAGGGGAATCAAACCCACGACCTCTTGATCCAAAGTCAAACATGCTAATACACTGTGACTGAGCTATGCATTGGAAAAAAGAACGTTTTTCAAATACATTTAAAGAAAATATTTGACATTAAGATGCAGGAAAAAAATTAAAATGCTGTTAATCAAGTGAACAAATATGACGAAAATATAAGAATTCTACAAATTTGAGTAAGTTTTAAAAACTTAAATAAAATGAGAGAATGATGCAAATAAGTTTAGAGATAGCTTCGTTTGAGCAAGATGGAGAGTTTATAGTAGTGAGAAAATGTTGTAGCCACTTGGAGGTTCTCTTCGTACCAATGTGCATCATTAAAGCAAATACCTCCCAAACATACAACAATCTTCTCTAGCGTCTTTATGTAAGTCACCACCAATTTCATTGACGAAGCCAGGAGTTTCGACTTTTCATCTCATCACCCGACATCGAATGGATTTCCGTTAAGGTAGGAACCACCTAATATTTTGATCTCCAACGTTGACCTTGATTCAAACCTTGTGAATCTGAATACGGTCAATACCACTATCCTGTAGACAAAAAAAAAAGAGTAGTAGTAGTTATCCCACATGAAATAAACTAACACCAAGGATTTTATAAGAAAATATATCAAATCAACAAAAAAAAAAGTGAAAAATGGAATGTTGCTAGTCAGATACCGTTCTGTGGCGGCGGTTCATCATCGTGTTTACAGCAGCTGACTTTGCTTCCACGAATGAAGACATGCTCAAACTGTGATACCTTACCATCCTGTGACACAACATTGGAAAACAAGAGCAAACCCATTATTAAGCTGTATATGAAACAGCACATATGTGGAAAGATTAACTATACGAAACTACACTCTAAAAAGTGAATATATAACTCTGAAATTCATAACTGGAACTACAGGTGACTTGTTTTACTTCCCAAAGAAGCAATGTTTGATTCAAAACGCAAACTCAAGGTAAAACATGATAGCTTTCAGTTGTGAAAACTTCAGATAATTCACCTTTAACAACAAAGATCCTCTGAAAGCAACTTAAAACATCACAAAGTACAAAAGTTGAAAAATATGTTTACAAATAGCACCAATACCGTGGCTCTAGCCAATCTCATTAGTTCCATGTCTTATTCATACTTCAAGAGGATCACTCTCCTATAATACATATATACAGCCACAACATTCCCCAAGGGAAAAGAAAAAGTTATAAACTGAAACCATGACGTTTAGGTAAGAAGAGGTGATTGACCTTAGTGGTAAAGGTAATACCTCTGGCGGTTCCAGTTAAAGGTGATTGACCCACACTCCTTCCTCTGTAGAGCTCCCGCTCTTTAGCTCCACACTGTCATTATTCCCAAACTTGGCTCATTTATTTCAGAATAGGGCTCAAATAATAAAAGGCCCAGGCCCATTTAGTATATATGTATATTTTTAATTTTACTTTATATATACAATATGGATTGATCGTTCTCTTTCTCTCTGGAGCGATGTCGTCTCTTGCAGAAACTTTCAAAAGATTTACAGATGAGTTCGAAAGTGGCAAACACAGCGACGCGTTGAACATTCTCGGAGAGATGCCCTTCGCTGATGAAGAAGCCGTGTACCTGGAAGGTTCGATTCTCAACCAGCTAGGATTAAAATCGGGTAAAAATTGATGAGATGTTCACTTTTTTCTGTCTTCGGTGGAATAGTACCTGACTACCGTTTCTACTCAGCCATGAAAGGTTTCGATCATGCCTCTATTACAAGAAATCTAAGAAAGATACAAAAATAACCATAGATTATGTGCTTGATTCAGATAGAGAAAAGTTGGATTTGATCATTAGTAAACAAATTGATGTTTCCGAGAGACTCGATCCTTGTCCACAGTCGATCTTGTTGATTATCAATCTGAATGTTACTGAGAGTTAGAGGTTGTTAAGAATCTTAGGAAGTTTTGGGCTGATTTAACTTCTGAAGCCAAGAAGGAGTACATGAAAATGAGTATTTTGAAGATGAAGGTATTTTATAAGGGAAAAGAAGTTTATGTCTTGTATATTGATTTAAATAATCATTGAACTTTGCATATAGCTTATGAATTAGGAGTTTTGATTATTTGTGAGTTAACGCTCATATGATGCAAATGTTTGGCTTGTAACATTTTACCATTATTGGCTTATTAAACCACTAAAAGAACAAAAGTTGAAAATTGGTAAACTCTAAAGTCTAAAGTTCTTTACTCTATGTTTGATGTCATTTTAATGCACAAAAACTGAACATGTTAAGAACAAAACTAAATAGATATTATGAATCAGTCTCTATAAACTAGAGAAGATCAAAAGTTTTTGGAGCATCCATTTGTTTATACTATTATTTAATAAGTGATTTTGTTGGATTGTCATGAATTTTTTTCATGATTTTAGACACAAGTCATTAATTTTAATAATTTGTTGATTTAGCTAATGATTTGTCATTGTATTCAGAATAATTATCTAACCATTTTTATTGACAATATCATGGTCAAGTTTGTCTTAAATTTAGTTTTCTAACAGCTATATATATATATATATATATTAAGATAGAGTTAGTTTAATATTTTTTTGAAAAAATTTATTCTAACAAAAAAACAGAGTTACAACAAGTGCAGCATTTTGTAGATTGAAACTTACAAACTCAAACCTCAAAACACCTATCAACCTTAAAACAAAAACAACTTCAAAGACTCAAAAGATCATCTCAACACTGCTCCTCAAACTTGACCATGTGGAACAAGTCAAAGCTTAGAGGGACTATGAGTTAGTTTAATATTAGTAAAATTTAGTTTAATATTAGTAAAATTTAGTTTAATATTAATAAACTAAATATAAGATAAACTTGACAATAATTTTGTCAATAAAATAACAAATGAGTATTATTTATTTTGTGTTTCAAAATAGAATTATCTGTGAAATTGTTAGATGGTATGATACAATTACAAAGATGGTTGACTCTTATCCATTGGTTTGTTTACTAATTGTGATTAGCTGAATATCTATTGTTTCCTTGTTTTCCATTTTACTTTGTTTCTTGTTAAGTTTAAGACATTGTTTAGTTAAGACAAAAATGATTTTTGATGAAAAAGGTGTCAAGAAGCTTCGTACACTTTACTTTCAATTTGATCATTTATTTGTATTAATGAAATGTTTTGATGGGTCTGGATAAGCCAATAAGTGTAGAACACCTGAAAAAGCCAGAAAAAAAACTGAATCAGCTTTGCAAAACTCTTATACAGAAAAACTAAGGACTTAACCAATGACAAAACAAATTAAAACTAAATGGAATTCGTGAATGATAATAAATTTTACTTAGAAACCAAGAATAATAAATAAATTTTGCTAATTCGTTGCGTTAGTCTAAGTATTTGAAAGAAATAACTGGCGATTTAAAAGCTTTATATCAGCTAAAAGCTTTCAAGCCCATATAATCTTTCAGTTGATCGTTGATGGGGATCAAAGTCTCTGGTAGTCGTAGGTGATACTGTTAATCATATAATTATAGTTCTAAGGCTGCATTCAAATTCAATCAATCAATGATATACAACATAGAAGATGTGAAATGATTCTTTTACGGTGATATCACCAAAAAGGAAAGACAGAGATGTGATGAAGATCTATGAATCATGAGCTACATACTTCTATCTTCTTCTTTTTTTTGTTTGGAACACTAGCCACACACTTCTATCTATGACGAAATACATGTACAATATGATATATAGTAAGCAAGTGTGTTTATATTATATAACACATTATTGCATCATTTGATATTACTTCACCACCATGACGAATTTAAATGATACTCTTCAGATCATTCATATATATTCATTATATCATACACTAAGATCAATACCATGAAGAATTAGTTACACAATAATGTAATATAATTATTATGAAAGCACCTGCACATATACTAATACAGTATATATAAACAAATATCAAAAGATTAGCACAAAAACAAATTTATTAGGTAAAGCAATATCCCAAAACAGATTAGCTTACGTGGGCAATCACTCGTTTTGGAAAGCGTACGAGTAACTCCATACTAATTTCTCGTAACGAATTGTATTTTGTTTTTAATTAATTTAACAATGCAGGCAACAACGTAAAAGGAAACTTCTTCTCCAATCTAACAAGTAACAAGTCTATCTTCCATCTATCTCAAGACCACAACACGTCTAAAACGCGACGTGTTTTCCCTCTAACTTGCGCCAAAAATTATCGTTCAAAGCTCCAAACCAAAATCTACCATACCACCGGTGCTAAGTGCTAACTTACACCATCTCTCTAGCTGTCGCTTCACAAACTTCTTATTCTTCTCTCTATTTTTGTCCAACCAATCATTCCTGTTTTTACGTTTATATTAATATATTTATATTTAAATCACAAACCGCCATACCAAAAAGTGTGTATATAAGAAACCAGAAGCTTTACTATTATTCACCTGAATCATATCTGCCTTTGAGCTCCATCGAAGATGATGAAAATGAAGAATTTTATTGGTTCTAGATTAAAGTCTTCCTCAGCAAGACAAGGTGAAACTTTTTCTTTCTTTCCATGCACTTTTGTTCAAGAACATCTGAGTGATTTGTTTCTCCTTCTTCTCTTAATTAATTAGTTCTTGAAATGGTTTATCAAGAAGCTCAAAATGTTTGTACTTTTGCGATATTTAGATATATTCTCTCTAACCAGAGTCCACAGATTAATTTTCTAACAGAAACATTTCTGAAATTTTTTGATTCATCTAAACTGTTTTTTTTGTCAATAAAGCAGATAATTCTGAAAAGGAATATCGTCGTAGCTTGACGTGCAAGCTAAGTGTTAACGAGGAGTACAAGGAAGCTTTCAGAACTCACTCCTACTTAGAAATTCGAACAAAAGCAGAAGAACAATTAGGCATAACATTCTGTAGCAAATTCTCTTCTTCTTCTCCTTCATCCTCAAATCTGAGCTTCCACTCACACTTGACCGATTACTTACTCGACCCTCCTCAAGAAACTCTCGATACTCTGATGCAAGACACGAGTTTCCACTATCTTCTAGTTAGATTCTTTGACTTTAGCTCCGATGCTTGTGATGTGTGTGAGTCTCTCCTTCAATGCATCCAACAAATCAAGATTAATCACATGAAACTCAAAAGGGTTATCAAGATTGGGAAAAGGGTTTGCAATGGTGCTAAAACCCCTGAGCTCTGTGCTTTGATATTTCAAGAGCTCTCGAGATACGCCTTGCTGAAAAACCCTTTGTATAGTATCATCAACCAAGCTCAGTTCCACAGAGTTCATGATGCAAACACGGACTTGCTCACGAGATTGACATCGGAAAGGAGAAGAATCAGAAGAAAACTCAGGTTAGGAGGTTGTAGTCTAGTGATTTCTCATAGCGCGATTGTTATAACATTGCTGATAGTAGCATTACACAGCATACTCGGCGTTCTAGCAGCTCCTGCTTTACTCGGTTTGTGCTCGTTGGTTCTTTCGAGGAAGAAGAAAGCAAAAAGAAACATGGAGAATAGTAACAAGACTGATACAACGCTAATTAAGCTCGGGACACAAATGGATATTGCAGCTAAAGGAATGTTCATAATGATTAATGATTTGGCTACACTGAGTAGACTTGTTGGGAGATTATGCGATGAGATAGAGCATAGAAAAACCGTAGCTGCAATGTGCGTAAAGAGTGGGAAGATTGAAGTGTTGAAGGAAGCCTTGAGAGAGTTTAGTGGACATGAAGAAAGATTCTCAGAGCAGTTGCAAGAGATTGAAGAACATCTTTACTTATGTTTCCACACTATTAATAGATCAAGAAGACTAGTGTTAGCGCAAATCACAGGACCAAGTTCTTGATTTTTTTGTTTCGTCAAAATAAACACTGTTGTAAGGTTTATGAATTAGTTATCATAAATGATAAAAAAAATTTTTTAAAAAAATGTAATAACGTTTTTAAATGATTTCTTCATGGTTATAGTCCAGTATTTAAAAAACTGATATTTTAATGTTTTCACACATTAAAAAGACATTTTTGTTATTAAATTTTATCAATGAAATTTCATCACTTATATTTTTATACTTTAATTTATGTTTTACTAGAGTCGGTATGCGCTTCGCGTGGAATGTTGTGTATGTTCTTATGTCAAGTAACTATTTGCCTGAGGTTAAAGGTCAAATTACATTTCTATGTATGATACAATATGCTGTGGAACAATTTTGCTATATAAGTTTATCTTGGCTCGAGTGTTATAATACAAAAAAATTCATGCTAATGATCAGTATCTAAAGACTCTACCTTTAGTCTCTTAACCTTTGAAGCATTCAAATCCTTTTGAGTATGTTAAGCTTTGTTCACAACATTACAAATATTAACTAAAATCCCAAATAATGTACCAACGTAGCTCAGCTGGTTTAAAATGTTCCTTCTCCAAAATCTAGCAAAAAAAACATTACAATTATTGACCACTTTAAGTTCATGCAGAAAAAGATAAGTCAGTATTATAACTTAAAAATAAAAAAACATCTAAACTACTTTTTCTTTTTTGTAAAAATGTAAAGAGAATCTAAAGACATCTAAATTATGTTAAAAAAAACTAACAATTTAAGGAGAGTTAACTGAATCATTCAGCATGGGAGAAACAATACTTCTTTAGTTACAATACATAAAAACTTTCTCATGGAAATCCAAATAGTTTGAAGGTTTAACATGTCGTTCTCAGCAACCTTTAATACATGCTATATTTACTCATCATCTAAATAAACACACATAAAAGATGAGAGAAGTCAAGCAAAATCATACCAAGTGTTTTGCTTTTATAACCTGAGCCTTAGCCTTCTTATCAGCTTCCTCATCAACCTAGTATACTCTGTCTCTTTCCTCTACAAATTCTCAAACAATTCAAATTGTTCTTTCTCTGATACATCTAAACATGTTATCTTTTGTTTTAACACCAAACGCCTGTAGCTCAAAAGGAAAAGAAAAAAACCAATTCATTTGACAATTTATTATTTTACAGAGAGAACATTACAACTCCTAAAACAACACCATTAAAACAACAAATGCTCATAAAATTCTGCAAAACACCACTTTACTATTCTCTCAGCAACATCAACAAATAAATGATATGTCGAATGACCTTTTCTTTACGATGTTGGTTGTGTCTCATGCCATATATTTGCTGTAATGGTCCTCAAAATAATTCTTACTTGCAGCAAATTT